CAATAAAGCTTTGCAGGTCATTATTAATTGCAAAAATTCTAAGGGGAGAGTGAATCTAGGGAAGCCATGGAAATCGAAAGTAGGATATTTTTGGTAAGGAGTTTTTTGAAGTTTTTCCGCTTTTTTCGTGTTTCTGTCACTTTTTGTGTGGCCGCCAGTAATGTGTACGGATCGGGCGTACAGGGTCAGTACGACAAATTGAAAAACACACCTGAAAAACAATCACCAAACTGTTAACGGAGTAGATCCACACCCGGTAGTACCGTACCGGGGTCATCCTCGACCCGTCGCCGGCACCGTTTCGAAATGAAATGGCCATCTTGGCACGTGCCTAAACATTATATTCAGCACACCCTTTATGACCTGAGAACGGCGGGGAATATTAAAGGAAAACGGCCAAGCCAAGCACCCGAATGCGGAACGGGACGGAATCTCAAGTGAATGTGGTTGAACCGGGGCACGCTCGGATTTTTTTCGAAAAAAGCGGACCGGCACGCATAACGGGAATTCGAGGAATTGAATCAACTTGAAATTTTCGTGTGAATTGGGTCGTTCTTTTCAAGGATTTCGGAAGTCAGCAGCAAAATAATTAAATTTAAGAAATATATTATTTATTAAATTTAGCAGTCCTCCCGCGACACGCAACGTAAGCCATCCTTTCAACGCCCGCGCTCTGCGTGTCGCGGGGGTAGGCCCATTTCGAAATAATCCGTCGTTAGTTTTGCGCGTCCCACTAAACAAAATTTCAGCATGTCAGCGCTGTTCACAGTTTAAAAATAAACTTTGATACTTAACTATTTTTAAATATTCCGCAATTAAAACAAGGCTTCAGCTGTCGTAATATCAAATTTAAAAGTTCAATAATTTAAAAAACAGGCTGGGATAGAAACGTGAAATCTTTGAAAGCCACTTCTTAATTCGCCGATTCCCCAAAATTCCAAACCGAAATATGAAATTTTATACGTCTGCGGAGAGGGTGTGGGATTTTTTTCTTGCTGAAAATGATGAGGTCAGTGCGCGCCCACCCTTTCGCAGAAATAGAAGATCTTCCCCAAAAAGGCAACGGGGCTGACGACGTTGCGGGGTTCCCCCTTATCAAAAAACCAATTCAAGTTTGGAGAACTATCGGACCTTAGGGAATTTGGAAAGTGCCTTAGTGCAAGAAACCCAAAGATGGAGAAATTAAGGATTTTTGCGTGTTATGACGGCGAGGGGATTTGGAAATTGTGATTTAGAGCATGACGGCAAAAAGGGTGGAACATAACTTAGAATAAGCGTATTTTGGAGGGGGTAAGTAGGCAATGACGAGTTTTGTGGCCGGAAGCCTCGAGAAAATTCTTGAAATTGTTTAAAGGAAATTCAATGCTATTTTTTTTTGCGAATTTTGAAAAACTGAAAATTTAAGAAAATCCGAAAAGCGTCTAGCGCCTTATTTTATGATTCCAATATGGTTTTGACCTTTGAATTTTTAACATATATCGACTCAAAAAGGCACTTTCAAACTTTTTTGGATCAATGCAATTTGTTAACTCTATTATTAATTCTTTTCGCTAATCACTAAATAAAATATCCATTCGAATCGCGAAAATTGTGGAGTATTCAAATCCCATAGGTTAACTTATCGTTGGATGACATCGCAGTAAAAATTAGACTTTGGAAAATTCTAGTAACTAATCCTGGTCCTACTGAAGGTGTTTCCACCATCCTGAGACCGCAACCACTTTAAAAAAACAAATTCACCCCGCGGGCAGACCCGTTTGTGATGCCTCTGGAAAATTGGATAGACACGACTAGGTCCAAGCCACCAGGGACTAACTGCCATCTTTTCCTAGCCTCTCATCGAGGGAGTAGATAGAGGCAGCGAGAAAATAGAATGTTCGTCAACGCCTTGGCTTCAGACACCCCTCTAGGAAGCCGACCCAGAAGGTTCCATTGTCAAACGTTTACCCATCGGCTTCACACACCTGGGGCCGCCCAAATCGAAAGAGGTGTGTGACGCCGGCAAGAAATGTAAAGTTTCACGTCCCCCGATCGGTGGCGGGGGAATTCTGTTTGGCGAAGTGATTTGTGGATGGAACGGCAGCCAAATAAATTTTTCTTGAATTTTCGATTTTTTGCTTTCATAAAATTTGCCTTTTAGCGTGGATTCCATGGGTATTATAGACCTTAATTTGCATTAAACCCGGTGCCAAACAGCAGTTCGCCAAAGCATTTTTTACAAAGGAATTTTAGCCGCAGGGAGTCTGGGGAGAGGTGGTTCTTTTCCCCATTTGCATAATTAGCATCAACCTTCAACCAAATTTTGGACATGGCTTTTTCCTTTAAGAAAAACACTAAAAATCCTGACGATTTTTGAAGGCTACGATTTGAAAAACAGGCCAAGGAGGTGGGCCAAACCCCCGACTAACAAAAAGAAGTCACAAAAAATCCCAGATGCCACCAATCTGGTTAAGTGCATTAGAAAGCGACCCAAAAGTCGAAGATCCCCTTCTAAAATCCAATTTTCAAAAAAGGCCAGCTACTGGAACGGATTTTCCTTGTTTTTCTGCCTAAGCTATAAAATTAGCATAAAACTTTGAGCGCCGGAATTTCTTGAAAACAGTACGAAAAGTCGCAATTTGCTCCCCACTGTTGCAAACGGAGTGATATCGCTACTTTTTATTTCCAGTTGCAACCCCGAAAATTTCCCAATCACGGCCTTGGTGATCAGCACCACGTGGGAGGGGGAACGCGATACGTTTGCGCTTCAGCTTTCCCCATTTTTTGAGGCGGACAAAAAAACTGGGGCTCTAGAAAACGGGAGCACGGGTAAATATGGTGGGCGGTGAGAAAGGGGATGAGGTGTCTGACACAAAACAGCAGATCGTCACCACATAGAAAAAGCAAAAATTGTAGCAAACTTTGATAAAATCAAATTTCTGCGAGGCTTTTAGGGTATGGAATTGGGATTTGTAAGTCAGCGTACAACAGAGGTTTTTAAAAGCGGTAGTTCCAGCCCCAAGAAATTGAAAAAACTAGCGATGTAGGCTTAAAATTGTCTAAAAATTGTTTTTCCTGGAATACCTTTAAGCACGAAAAATGACAAGCATGTTTAGAAGCATAAAATAGTCTTATATTGTCCAAAAAATAGACAATGTTCAGACTCAAAAAAATCGAGCCCTGTTCAACCTTTTGGCCGGAAGTTCGCGATTCAATTTGTAGGCACGTGACGAGGGAGCTAGACGGCCCTAGGCAAGAAAAGAGGAGAACGTAGAAAAGCTCAAAAAGGCCCAGACGAGCACGTGGACGGGTGGTTATGAATTTTTGCAAAGATCTCCTCGGAGATCCCAGGATCGCTGTAACTTTAATCTATGCGTTCGGGGCAAGCCAGTTGCAAGAAACGGAACTGTTTGAAGTAGCAAACGCCACACAATCCTTGAAAATTGTAACCGAACAAGAATTTAAATTTTCTGACGCCCAGGTGTTTGAATCAAGATCGACAGATATATTTCTCACTTCACAATACAACAAATAAGGTACAATGGGCGCGAAAAATGCTTAAATTCGAAGAAATTCCTAGATACGGTAGCAAATAAACAATAAAATACCGTAGGTGACAGTACGCAACGTCAAAATAAAGTATCGTAACGTACACACCGGGACACACGAAAAGCATACCTCTCTAGATGCAAAAATGTCCAAATTTTTAGAATGACGGCGGCTCGTACCCAGGAATTGTGACTCAACGGCCTGGAGGTGTGGGACGGAATCATGCGGACGTTATGGCGAGGTATAAACATTTATTAAACTCGTAGACATCTAAATCGCTAATTATTCATTAGTCTTTTTAACCAATCACTATTACGACCTACTACTATTATTCATGCCTCTTAATTTTAAATTTCTAGACTCGGCCTCGATGCCGCGCTTTTGACCTACGTGGGAAATGACGAGAACGGGCGTTTTTTGAGGCGTACTGGGCAGCATATTGTAGGCAATTCTTTATCTTTGATTTAGATTAATTCTTTTATTTTTATTAATGAACCTAAACCCCAATACAAGAGTATTTAGGACCTCTCTGGCGTCAAAACCGTAGACGCACCAACGGCAACCTATTGTGCGATCAACATGCGCGGGAATGTGCGCTTTGGGATTAGCAGCATCGAGGAGATTATGGGCAAACTGGGCCCGGAAATTGTAGGTGTTAATTACGAGTTTATTGCTGTTTTGAGGTCCACGCAAACAGGATCTACTCGAGGAAGCGGATTTCTTGGTGATTGACGGGAATACAACGGTCGAGACATTAAAAGAAGCGATCGAGGTTGCTTATCGCATCAACCTGCCGAGTGAGTTATGATTTTTAAATTGGACTAAGAACTTTATGAAATCACAACAAGTCAGAATTAAAGTTTCAATTATTTAAAGAAATTGATAAACCTGAAAGTATGATTGTAAGTAAGTATGATTATTATTCCACCAGTGGAAAAAGACCCGCTTCGCGGCCCTTTTCCACTGGACCCCGTCTAGGAATCATCAATTCCCTTTCCTTTTATCGAAGTCTGCGGCGCAAGAGCCTGACTCAAGGAACCATTCTTTGGCCTGCGGCGCTAGAGCCTAAAACCTACCCGGTCCTAAAACTCGCACACCGAGAGCCTAGAAATAAGTTTTGTTGTTGAACTACCAAAAAGCAAAAAGTTAAATTCCCTGCGAATTCGAACCCTGACCACGCGTTTGTTAGACCGGGCGCCAGTCCAATACACCAAGGCGACGCGGCGATTGATGGCGGGAAAGGCCTCTTCTGTCCTGGGGGCGCGCCTCATCCCCGGAGAGCGGACTTCTGATAACTTTACAAAATTCTCTTTTTGAGTCTGAATGCGCCAAAAATCTGTAAAAATAATAAGATGCGCGTGATCCCCACTATCGAATACATAAGTAGACCAAATTACAGCCCCAAAATTCCATTTGGGATTCGAGTTATTGCCCGGACACCACGGGCAGGGCCGTAACAAACCCAAATTTCGGGGGGCGACCCCAAAAATTTTTCACTAATATGACTAAAACTACAGCGCCGCAGGCAAAATTTTTGAAAACATGGGGCTTATAACACTAAAATTAGTGTTAAAAATAGACAAAAACAGCGCCGCAGGCAAAAAATTTTTTGGAAAAATTAAATCATAAGGGTCCCCCCTTATGTACTTTTCGGCCTTCGGCCGATTTCGGGGGGGGCGGCTCGCCCCCCTCGCCCCCCTCTTACGGGCCTGACCACGGGACTGTGGCCATTTTATTCAGGACCGTCTAGTAAAAAGCTCATAAAAATTTTATTTTAAGGAATTAGGCAAAATCCAAAAAATAGTATCGGGAGAATTGCTTTTACCACTCACCCGAAAATTCAGAGCCCAGCGCCTCTTGGCGGCCGAGAAAACCTCCGGACATACCTTTTTTGGGCAAAATGTTAAGGATTTTTCACTATTTTGCCCGTAAAATCGTTAAATGAAGGGATTTCGCCAAACAAAAAAATGCATCCCTGACAAATGTGTTTCTCTACTTGCATGCCAAAAATCAGCCGGAAATTCGGCTTGGCGGCCGAGAAATCGGCTGAACAGAAAACAGACATACTTTTCTCGCTTATAGGACAGGATTTGGTTCCAATTCCGTGAGTTTTTCCTGTTTAATTTTCTGACTTTTGTAATTAGCTTTTTCCATCGATCAGAATTATCGATTAATGCTCTTTCAGTCTGGTTCGAGCCCACCGATATCGACAAGATGCAAAAGCTCTTCAAAGCTGGAAACATTGAGAAAGTCTCGGTGACCTCCCCGAATTTGAACGAATTCCGAGAATTGTGTCGCTTTTCTGGTGTCGCTACCCAGGGCAAAACTCGATTTCTTTTCAACAAGCCTAAGTTTAGAAAGCTACTTCACCTCCACGTTTTCTATGCAAAAATTTATCCACAAGCACCACGAAAAATTGCCCAGCTTCCGGCTGCTCGTGGTGACCATGGGCGAGAAGGGCGTTGTTGTTTGTCATAGGTAACTGATTCTATAGCCTTATTTTGCATTAAAAAAACATCTATAGTGAGAGAAAAGTATGAAAAACTACAAAACACCATCAATCAGTTTTTTTTTGCAAAAAGACCCCATCTAAACCTACCTAAAAGGGGAGAAAATTGATAAATTAATTGGTTCCAAATACTTTTCTATTAAAAAATATCAGGAAAACTATTATATCAGCTGTTGACGGTCCAAAACGGAACATTGAAAATTCCCGGGTTCCGTAGAAAAACCATACAATGTCTTCAGAACTGGAAATGGCTACGATATTCTCACTCGACCATCACCTCTTGGCAACTCTGAAATTGTCTCTGTTTCAGGAGCGGGAGATTGGTGAGTTTGAGCGACGTAGTGGAATGTTAATTATGCTTGGACCTTAATCTGTTAAGTGTTTTTGCGATTTTCAGTTGGAATGGCGGATTTCTGGCCGGCCACCTGACCGGACGAGACCTGGATGGCGCGATAAATCTGGCCCAAGAAACCACGGCGAAGTCGTTGAAGTCGACCTTTGCCGTACCAATCGATATTCAGCCAATTCTGTGATATAGACATATGGGTTTTTAGGATTGATTTTATTTCGATAAAGGGATTTTTAATCGCCAGATGTTACTACTTTTCTACTTTACTTTAATTAAATTTAAAGACTCCTCAATCAGTTAAAGTACGATGTTTGGAAAAAAAGGGGTTTTCGCTCTCTCTCTCTCTCTCTCTCTCTCTCCCTATCTCTTTCGCTCTCTCTCCCCTCTCTCTCTCTACGTCTCTCTCGCCATTTCTTTTCCTCACGGCCTGCATAAAGCAAGTTTATCAACAAAAACCATTTGTTTAATAAGACATCAGAATCAACAACGGCGCAAAATCCGATTATTTCCCCTCGAGTAACGACGTGAGCTCGACTACGCGAAGCTCCAGTTTCCGGATTTTCGCCTCATTCCTATCAAATGCTTCACGAAGCTTCCGATAGAATCCCTGGCTCCAGTCATCCACATGGCATTCGCCCTGCTGGCAGCTCGCGTAGGCTGGGCACGAATTTGCATCGATGACGCATTGTCCGACCTCAAAATACTACGCTGGATTTGGTACTCTAAATGACTCATTATTCTTCCTTGTTTTAGCCAAAATCGTAAGAAAAACCTCTCAAGTTGAAATAGGCATAAAAACAAGAGTAAGGGTTGAAAGAGGGTGAAAAAGGGCCAAAATGCGAGAGTTTTAACCCACCGAAGTCGGCTTCTTTTCAACTTTTCGCTCTGTCGGCCTTCCTGAATATACCGTGAAAAATGCGATAATCAGAAAAATGTGAATAAGCAGCACTAGAATCCATTTGAGGACCTGATCGCGTAGAGATTCGGTGTAGAGATTTTTTGAGACGTATTTCGGACGCATTTTGCAAAAAAAAACGAATTTGGAAAAGTGTTGGCGGGCTCCTCTTTCTTGACCCCGTCTATGATTCAACGAAAACAAAATTTTCAATTCAGGCAATGAAACATCTTAAAAACTCAACAAACCAGGAGAAAAATGTCTCGATTAACTTTGGGATCCTACTATATATAAAAAAATAGTGTCTGTGTGTGTGTGTATGACACTTTGCATGCAACTTCCGTCAGCGTGTCCGGAGGATATCTCAAGAGGGGATGGGTTTAAGGAGGTGTTTGATACGTCATTAGATGCGTAATGGACTGACGATGGCTGCACACATATCATGTTTTGTAAAACATGTGGTTTTCGACATTAAAACTAAGTTTTTCGTAAAAATTCGGCCACCCACTTTGTTAGGAGAAAATTAACATACGCCGGAAGTTGCAATAGCCTATATAAAGGCCCAAAGAGCGCGTTTTTCATTTTTTTTTGTCATCGTGATTGAGGCACAATTATGCAAAATAAAGAACATCACAGGATTAGACGGGGCCAGGGTTGAAAAGTCGCGAAGCGGCTTTTCAACCCTGGTTTATTTATAGTACGCAAAACAACTGCCCGCATATATTAAAAATGTGATTTTCTGTACAACCAAAAAGTTGCATGAATTTACATAAACATACCTGAGCGAATAAAAAATGTTGTCGCGACAATGCCTACGTCCGCACCCCCACCATGCGGTGGCTATCCCAATTCTGGCTGCTCACCCTCAAGAATTTGATCCTCATCTGGCGGAACAAGGTCAGGATGATGGATGCAAATTTTTTTGGGACTTCTCGTTCCGACGGCCCCTAAAAAATGTACCGTTAGAAAGGTAGGCACTTGCATTAAGGTATGGACACTGCTGGAGATTGTGGTGCCGTTGCTCATCGGGGTGCCGATGCTCATCAAGGGGGGCAAATGGATGGGAAATTCGGTGGGTTCTTGAAGGGTTGATTTTTTTGTGGATTGCCTGGTTCTGGGACCAAAATGCAGCTGGTTTCAGCCCCGGGCTCATGGACGTGTTGGGGGCCTCCCGTTGGCCATGGACAGTACGCCGCACGACTACGTCTATACGTAAGTTTGGGGGAATACGCGTGAGAGATTGAGTGAGAGAGAGAGAGGGAGGGAGAGAGATAATGAGCGGGAGAGAGACAGCGGTGGTGATTGAAACAGCGCGTGAAGAGAGATGGAGAGAGAAAGGGAGAGAGAGAGGAAGAGAGAGAGAGGAAGAGAGAGAGAGAGAGAGAGAGAGAGAGAGAGAAAAACGAGATAGAGACAACCGAAGAACGCGGAACCAAGCGATGTTTCAGCGTCACCAACCCGAAACAGCAGCCGAACGCTGCGTTACTGTTGAAAAAATACCAGCAATTCGTGAACGCCCTGGAGCCACCGGGAAAACCGTTAAACCTGACGTTGTTCAAAAATCGAGCCGTTGGTTTTTAGCCATATTGCTCTCCGTTATGCTTAACTTTCTCAAGCCGTTTTTTGCAGGCCATGCAGAAGTTTCTGCAGAATCAAACTGACGTCGAGAAGGGCCCGGGTCACTCGTGAGCGCTTAATCCGCTATGTTAAAGTACAATTCAGCGGGACTCTGGGGGCCTTTGGCATCGAGATTTTGCACATCAACGTGAAGTCGGCAGTGTTCGACTACCGCATCTGGGTGCCCGGCGAGGCGAAGAAGTGGAAGTTTGGCGAAAACTGGGCCCTCACCAACAGCAGGACCGATGTGGGAAGCGGCTAAACCCTAGTTTACCCCCAGCCGTAACTTTTCAACCATATGTCCTATTAATGCGCCGAGTATCTCAAAATGTTCGCCGTGGTCGAATTACTATAAAAAATTGTTTCCTTACATCAAAAATTGTTAGAAAAATTTTTATAACAATTATAAGTCTGGGTTTTCTTTAGTTAATTTTTGCTGGTCCAAGGTGAGTTTTCGTATCTCGGCTATCTTTTGACGTACAGAGCTGTCAATGGTACCAAAATGTAGCTCTCGCTGTGTAGAATAAGCCTACAGTACGTTTGAGTCGAAAAAAATAGCGGAAATAAAAATATTTGAGTTTTAGGCTTCTGGTACATTGAAGCACAGCGGCTTAATCTTTTCAACTTTCAAAATCTTGTTAAAAAATTTCTAGCAATTTTTGCCGCAAGAAAACAACTTTTTTATGGTAATTCGACCACGGCGAACATTTTGAGATACTCGGCGCATTAATAGGACGTATGACTGAAAAGTTAGGGCTGGGGGGGTAAACTAGAGTCTTACCTGGGAAGCAAAAGAACACCGATTTCGTCTTTTCACCTGTTATTTGTCTTTTTCTCTTTCTTTTTTATCTTTTTTGACACAGCCCTAGATTTACGATACAATTGGCGGATGGACGGGAGCTTTTTTGGGTTCTTGCCCATTATCGGGCGGGGACGGGGGGGAGGGTAGAGCAATTTTTTGAGGTTGCGGTTCCCTACTGAGGAGTCCTTGCCGCTAGAATATGCTCGTCTAGGTTTAAAGGACGAAACGAGCTCCCCCATTAGTTTTATTCACACTAGCCTATGCAGGCAATCCGACTTCACCGCAAGGTTAAGTTTCGTGGTTCCCAGGAACCACACCTCTCGCCTTTTAAGTTCATTTGTGAGCTTAATTGGTTCTCTGACTTGCCTCTCAACTTCGGTTGAAAGGTTCTGGGTCCTAGTGACCCTTTTCTCCAGGTTTACCTGGTTATACTCTATTACTCTTCTTCTTATCTAACTCTTTTTAGAGTTATATAAACTTCCTTATACTTTCTATTAGCAATCAATTTTTTTAAATATCAGTAGCGAAAGTGTGTTTATGCCGTTTTTTAGTATTCCTGAACGTAAAAACTGTACAAATGTGTATTAACAAATACAAAAATATATGGATTTTCGAACAAAAATGACCGCTTTTGCGCACAATTGTTTTTTGTTTGAATAGTGATATATTGCTAAAAACACACTAAAGCACTATATTAACTGGCTGCCCCCGATAATGTTAAAAAACCCAAAATCTGCTGCGTAGTTGTTTGGCGGCACCCCGGTCGACCAGCCGTCGATGTACGCCGTGAACCGGGTGCTGAAGATGCAGTCGATTCTCGACGACGCCTTTATCCAGGTGTGCCGAGCTGAAGGAACGACCTCTTTTGTAGATGACCAAACTGGTGAAGACTGATAGAACCCGAGACGAGATCGTGTATCATTCTTTCGCCACCCCGGCTCCGCCGCTAAAATGGTTTCAACCGGTCTGTTTTTGGGTTTTTTGGAGCTCAATAATAATTGCAGCTGGTGTCTGGCATTCCGGGCCTGATCGCCGTGCTTCTCTTCCCCGGCATCATCCACCTCGCCAAGGACATCTCGTTCGAGGTCGAGATCGGGCTCAGGGTATGTTTCCGCGAATTCATGTTTAGGTACTGGACTGTTAGCGGGGGGATTTTAGTATCGGGAAACTAATCTTTGTTTCTCCGTCTATCCCAAGCTCTTCGTAAGTAATAGTGTAGTTTTGTAATCTTTTTCGCAGTTTATGTCGCTAGAAAATTACAAGGAAAACGTTAAAAAATTGTCAAAATTAAAGGTTTTGGTCTTTCTCGATCATTTTCCCGCATTTTTGGCCGAAAGCCAAAATTTTTTTGAAAATTTTGATGTTTGAGGTGCAGGATCATAAAACCAAAAATTCTTCAAAGTGCAATAAAAATGGTGACCATTTTGTTATAGGCCGTCGAGAATTACTAAGAAAAAAGAATCGAAAAACTCCGCGAAACCCAAAACATGCTTCCAGCACCTCAGAAAAGGCCTGCTAACTTTCCAGGAATACATGCAAGTGATGGGACTGTCCCCGTTGCTCTTCTACCTCAGCCACGGCTTCATCGGATGGCTCAAGTCGATGCTCCTATTGCCGTTCTTTGCCTTCCCGCTCTTCCGATACTTTGACGTGCGGACTGGCCCCCGTTGCCCCCGAAAACTATTCCAGATGTTGCCATTGCTATTCCCAGCACTCGTCGTTTTCCTCTATTCACTCTCCGTCACCTCGTTCGCCATCTTCTGCTCATCCACCCTGAAGACGTCGTCGAGTGTTTTCAAATGTACAGGATGTCCCAAAAACCGTCCGCCGCCTCCTCTAGCCGGCCGCAGACGTTTCCGATCCTTACGATTTAAGGATCTATCAAAAGCTCCAGCAAGTCGAGTCCAGCACTCTTCTCCGATTCCGAAGTTTTTGCAATCCTTCGGGCGATTTCTGATTTTTTTCTGATTCTGACGGATTTTCGATGTTTTTCTGACCAGGGGATTCTTGTAGAAATCACAATTTAAGGAAACTCACAATTTCCTGCAGCTGAACCACAGCCTTTTAGAACCCGTTTGCAAAAACACATCTTGGATAGCGCTTGAACCGGTTAGATTGAGTTTTTGACAAGAAAGCGTGTCCTTCCTGAAAAAAATGCCGAAAATCAAGCCAGAACTTTCCAAATTGGGAAAATCGAATCCAAGAGCTATCAATAGATGGCTAAATCGTAAAAATCGGACACGTCTGCGGCCGGGGGTAAATTTTTGGAACACCCGATACGGACCAGGCAGTGGTGAAACCGGCATTTTTTAGTGGCGATGATTCTGTGGGTGATGATGGCGCTGCAGCCGATCGTCTCCGGCCCGAAGCTCGAAGAGATCATGTGGTGCTTCATCCTGTCCCTCAACCCCAACCAGGCCTTCGTACTGGCGGTTGACATTTGGTTGAGCTACGACGAGCGCAGTGAGTGCTTTGGGTACTCGAAATTTGGACATTGTGAATTCGAAAGACCAAAAAAATCAAAGTTTGCTATCTTTTTTTAATAAAAATTTCCAAGGTTTGACGTTTAGGGTTCATAAAAAAACTATTTAAAAACTTCCACTTCTATTTTTTCCAAAAATTAAATTCTAAGAAAAAAGTTGGCGGCCCCGATAATGCGAAAGAACCTTTTTGAGCTGTTTAGGTCTAAAAAGTGCTTGGAATGCTATAAAAATGGTTTATTACTTATAGTACCATACGCTCGTAACTGGAACTCTAATTCTTCATTCCCAAATTAGACAACCGGATGAGCTTGACGGACGCAGCCACCGGCTGGACCGAACACTTCAACCTGGCGTCCGTCTACATAATGCTGATCGTTGGCGCCTTGAACGTGGCTGTCATTTCCCCTTTAAACCGCCAGGTCGACACGCTGTGGATGTTCCTGGGCGCGCTGCTGATGGATCGGCTGCGCTCGGAGGAGACCAACTTTTTGCGCGACGCGATTGCGCGAATGTCGGTGGGGAATCGATTATGTCAGGAAATTTCTCGGATATCTGTGTAGTCACCGACGACGGAGCGGCCAATCAAGGGTGATGCGGGAGGCGACCAGCTTGTCGACGAGGTCGACGAGGCGAGGAACGTTGCTCACGGCGACATTGAGGTGAAGGATGTGACGAAGGTAGCGGCGCTCGTCGGGCTTAAAAGAACCCTGCTTCAGAAGTACGGCCTTGGTGGCGGCTGGGCGTTGAAGGGAGTCAATCTGAAGGCGATTCAGGGCCAAGTGAAGCGTTTTCTTCGGTTAATTAATGACAATGTTCCAGATTACGGTGCTGCTTGGGCACAACGGCGCCGGCAAGAGCACGACGTTCTCGATTCTGTGCGGGATGGCTAGCGCGACGTCGGGTAGGCGGAATTCTCTTCCTCGCGATTCTTTCGTGGAACTATCTCTCTATCTCTCTCTCTGTGTCTCTCTCTCTTTCTCTCCCTCTCCCTCTCTCATTGTCGCTTTCTCTACCTCACTCCGTCTCTCCCACTCGCTCGCTCTCTCTCCATCTCTCTGCCTCCCCCCTCTCTCTCTCTCCTCTCTCTCTCTCTCGCTCTCTCTCTCTCTCTCGCTCTAAAATTTGAAGAATGGGAAACGGAAAACATATAACCTCTAATTCTGCGTTCAGGCACAGTGAAAGTCAACTCGAAACCCGTCGGCCTATGCCCCCAAAAGAACCCACTCTTCCCGAAGTTGACCGTCGCGGAACACCTCTGGTTCTTCCACCACCTCAAGGGCGGCCAGGACGACCACAAGTTAGCGGGCGCCGCGCTGATGCACGACTTGAAGTTTGCCGACAAGAAGAACGAGGTCATGACCCCCCACAATTTCACCTCGTTGTTTTCAGCTGGCCAAGAACCTCTCCGGCGGCACAAAACGGAAGCTCCTCGTCGCAATGGCAATCATCGGGCGTTCGAAGGTGGTGCTCCTCGATGAGCCGACGGCTGGTATGGACCCGGGGGGCTAGAAGAGCTGTGGAGTACGTGCTGCAGCGGATAAAGAGAGACAGGTAAGCAGCTGAAATACCTAAACAGCGGCAATCCACAGAACCGTCCTCCTCACCACCCACTACATGGACGAGGCGGAGAAGCTCGGCGATTGGGTGACGATCCTGCAGGGCGGTCGCGACGTCATCAACGGGTCACCAGGATACTTGAAGCGGAAGTACGGCAGTGGCTACATTCTGACGCTCGTCGGAGCTTCGATGATCGCTGAGGGACAGCAGGATCTGGTCACACCAGTCTCACCGGAAGCGGTGGGTGCTTCTAGTTGTAGCTGAACAACAGGCTCTAGATGCAAGGTCTGGGCGAGGCCGCTCAAAAAACGGTTGCCGAGGTGCTTGCTGGTGACGCCGGAAGCTTCCCACTCGGTCCCCCGCATGGTCGCCAAATCGAGATGACGATCCCGATGAGCAACAAGGACAACTTCCCGAAGATGTGCCAAGCGTAGGCGGTCCTGTTCTATGGTGACGCTTCTCCTTTAGCCTCGAGAAGCTCAAGGAGGATGGGAAAGCCGTGACGGGCAGCGTGGTGCTCGTCGACTTTGGGATGTCGTTGAATACGCTGGAGCAGGTGTTCCTGAAAGTCGGCGAGATCGGCGAGGGGAAGAAGGAGGAGGCGGACAGAGGGACAGCGACGGCGTGGGTTAGTTCAAGGCTGCTAGACATTTCGTATGTACAACTACAGGCAAGCGCTGCCCGGCTTGACGTCTTGCCAATGCTGCTCGCACACTTCTTGGCGATGCTGAAAAAGCGGGTCCTTTACAACCTGAAGAACATCCCACAATTTGTCGTGCAGGTGGGATGGTCAGAAAAGACTAACTAAAAACTTAGAAAACGTTGCAAATAAGCTAAATATTAAATCGGCAAGATGGACTTTGACGGTTCTTTAGAATTATCGGGGCTGGGGACAAATTTCTTTTTGTATTAATCTAAAAATCAATAGCTTAATAGGAAGTATTTCAACAATGTTTTTATTTTAATAAACTAAATGGGATTTTAAGAAGAAAAACGAGCTGAAACTGAAACCGTTTTCAAAAAGCTGAAATTTTGGTTAATAAAGGGCTATTGGTCATAAAATAGATATTTTATATTAAAAAATAAAAAAAAAAAAAAAAAAAAAAAAAAAAAAAAAAAAAAAAAAAAAAAATAAGGATGATTAAAAAAGAAAATTTTTTACTCAGATCGTCATCCCGATTGTCCTCTTCCTCTGCATCAACTACGTCTGTAACCGCGTGACAACGGTTAGACTTGAACCGGGCGCCGGTACCTCGGCCGTGCTTTAGGAGGTGGACAGCATCGTCGTCGGCCCATCCACCATCCAGCCGGGGCGCTGCGTGCTGCAAGTAAATTGTTGAACTTGGTGAAACGCGCCCAATTTGTAGGTGTTCAGCGGCTCGCAAACCTCGGCCCAGCGCCTTCGCAAGTTGTTGAGCAACGGTTGTGGCCTGTTGGAGCTGTCCGCGAGGAAGAACTTCGCCATAGAAGTGGTTCAGGTCCGGTTTAAGGGGTCTCTCTCGCTCTCTCTCTCTCTCTCTCTCTCTCTCTCTCTCTCGCTGTCTCTTTCTCTACCCCACTCCGACTTTCCCACCGCTCGCTCTCTCCCCTCTCTCTCTCCCCCCTCACTCCCCCTCTCTCTCCGACTCTCTCCCCTCTCTCTCCCCCTCTCTCTCTCTCTCCCCCTCTTTCTTTCTCTCGCTCTCTCTCTCCCTCGCTCTCTCTCGCTCTCACTCCCACTCCCTCTCCCCTCTCACTCACTCACTCACTCACTCTCTCTCTCTCTCTCTCTCTCTCTCTCTCTCTCTCTCTCTCTCTCTCTCTTTCACTGCGTACTGACTTTACTCCGCCCCTTTTAGGCCACCCAGGATCTGCCTCGCCTCGCCGTCGGCATCCAGCTGCACGACAAGGTGCAGTCGAACGTCCACATCCAGGCCTGGTACAACCCGAACGGCTACCACACCACCCCGCTGATGATTAACATCGCTGACACGTTCAGGCTGCAAGAGAGAACGTGAGGGCCTGACCATGAGGGGCAAGCATATCTCGTCAAATTTCAGCGACCTCGACACGGCTCGGATCACCACCGGCTTCCACGTGTTCCCATTGGACGCGGAGCTCGAGGAAATTATGACCGGCTTCTTCAAAAAGGTCACAAGACTCTTGGATACTGGCAAATCCCAGCGCTTTAGCTACGAAAATTTGTGCTGATCCCGTTGCTGCTGCTCGCCTTCTCGATCCTCACCTCCGGCTTCATCGTGCTGCTCGTCGAGGAGCGCACCAGCAATTTTCAGCACCAGGTGCCAGCGTCAGACTCTGGACCGTATTTTGATAGTAGTACAATTTTTTTGTATTTTCCAAATTTTTTGAACACATGAAAAACTTTTCCGTCCATTTTTCATACATTTATGAGCAGTGAACATTTTTAACAACTTTTTCTATCTAAAAACTGCGCAAAATGTCATAAAAATTCTTGGTTCTTTTGCGTTCTCGGGGGCGGGCGGACCGATTTTTTTCTTAGGATCTAATTTTTCAGCTATAAACAGCGGAACTGTTTGTAAACGGTTTTTTATTATTCCTAAGCGTAAAACCTTAACAAATTTTCATCCAAAAATTTCATAAATACCGTTGCTTCGACCAAAAAAAAGGATTTGGGGGAAAAAAGGGGGGCTCTTCCAAATTTTTTTTACAGTTTTGAGATAGTCTTATACGCAATCGCCTTTTTTCCAGCAACTCCTCACCAAGCTGCATCCGGTAACCTTCTGGGGCGCGTCGATCGTGTACGACTTGCTGCTGTGCCTGCTCGTCTGCGCCGCCGGCATCCTCATCCTCTACATGGGCGACGTTTTGGGCGCCACGGCGCTGAAGCGGTTCGTCGAACGCGTTTTTCACGAGTTGCTCGCTTCAGACTGTCCGCCCTGTGGGCCCTCTACCTATGGGCGTGCCTTCCATTCATCTACTGCCTCTCGTACCTGTTCTCGTCGTCGGCCAAGGCGAATACGTTGCTGATCATCTGGCAGGTGGGTGAACGAGTATGGTCACGTCAGACGCGCCGCCATTTTCAGGTAATCTCCCCGATTGTGGCCACGATTTGCGTCGTCGCGATCTTTGTTTGGATCATTGTCGACATGATCATATCCGGCGCAGAGGGCAGTTTCACGAAGGTCAAGGTGGCAATGGTAAGCCTCCCGCTCGGGGTTCCCGGACTGCTCCCAGGTGCCGCTGCTGCTCGTCTTCCCCCCCGTTCGGCATGTGCATGGGCGTCATCTACGTGATTCTTGTCGAATTCGAAATGGCCATCCCTTTGGAGAAGTACATGGATCTGTCGTGGTAGGTGTTCGGATTACCTTTTAAATTACAAGGGGCGGGGCGCTGATTTCTATGCCGTGCTGAGTTTTTGCTCATTTTTTACCATTTTTTTCGGAGATTTGTTCTAACTGCACGCGCTTCATGGCGTGTATATGAGGTTTTCATCGTTGAGAACGGTTTTCAATGCGAGGCTCCTGAAATTCGCGCTATTTTAACTATTTTTGTGGAAATTTGGGAAACGATTTAACACTAATTTAATGCTATATATTTTAGTATCTATTTTTTTGCAATTCCCGGGCTTAGGATGAAAGCTAGGACCTGGGGCTACCCACCGCGAGTCTTCAAATTCAGGTATTGGGAGCTGCCGCTGATCACAATGTCGGTGTTCGGCGCGCTGACGGCGGTGCTGTTCGTTCTGCTGTCGTCGCGGGGTGTGCGGCGGGCGGTGCTGGGCTTCGCCGGGGCGGCATGTATCCATCGAAAGCGCGCCCGCTACGTGGATGCTGATGAGGACGTGGCCGCGGAACGTGACTACGTCATGAGGAACGCGCAACAGAATTGGCCGCTGCTGGTGGGGATTGCAGGCATCAACTCGTAAAGGGTAACGGCACGCTGGATCCACCGCCCGCCAGAAACGAAAACATTTGTATTCCAGGCGATTTCCGGGTTTCCAGGTGTCCGACTTGCTGAAGTGGTTCGGCTGCCAAAAACAACCAGCGGTCGACCAGATCACGTTCGCCGTCGAGCCGGGCCAATGCTTTGGGCTGCTGGGTTCGCTATTTCGAGTGACATCACCTTACTTCCATGTTTCAGGAACCAACGGTGCCGGCAAGACGACTACCATCGACATTCTGACCGGGCTGAAGGCGGCCTCTGGCGGCGCAATTCGAGTCTACGGCCACCAGGGCACGCGAAGCTCGGTGAGTAACGGAAGAAGGCGGAGTTTCGAGCTCCAAGGACCTGAAAGTCAGTGAATTTCAGGCGATCGGCTATTGTCCACAGTTTGACGCCGTACTGATGGACTTTACCGGGCGTGAGGTGCTGAAGATCATGGCGACCTGCCATGGCTACAGCGAGCCGGGCAAGGTGGCAACCCAGGTCGGGCGTCGCACTCTTACCTCAATTATCCCTCTCCAGGTCCTCGCCGCCGTCGGCATGTCCCACGACGGCGACAAGCGCATCAAGTTCTGCAGCGGCGGCCAGAAGCGGAAGATCAGCGTCGGTGTCGCCCTCCTTGCCCAGGACGCCATCCGGATTCTGGACGAGCCGACGGCCGGTGTCGACCCGAAAGCCCGTCGCGACATCTGGATGCACCTCGACCTCTCCCGTCAACCCGCAGGGCGTACCGCTCAGCTGCTGACGTCGCACTCGATGGAGGAGTGCGAGGCGTTGTGCACCAAGATTTCGATCATGATCAAGGGAAGGATGGTGGCCATCGGGTCGAGTCAGCATCTCAAGTCAAAGTGAGGGTCTCTAAAAACATCTACAACATTTTTGTCTTCAGATACAGTGGCGGGTACACAATGACCGTCGAGCTGAAGCCGGACGAGTCGGGCGAGCAGGACCCGGTGAAGCTGCACGAGTTGATGACGGCCAGCGTGGAGGCCCTCACTCAGGCTATGACCGCCTTCTTCCCCGAGATCAAGATCAAGGAGGCTGGTGCGTCGAGGACATGTATCTATGTGGTCAGTAGCATTGCGTAATCTCTGAACTCTTAGAACTAGGTCCCATCTACCACCCTGTCGTGGTCAGCAGCTTGGGAGTCGATGGGCAAGCTGTGCTCCGACCCGAAGCTGCGTAAGTCTGCTGACGTCTAGCCTTTTCCAAGACCGGATTTCTAGGGATTGCCGACTACAGCGTGACGCAATGCGGCCTCGAAGATACGTTCTTGAAGGTGACGGCCCAGGCGAATAACGTGGCGGCATGAAGCAGTACACCCCGATAGTCACCCCGATCCACTAGCACCGTGTTGTGATGATCTCCATAATTTTTGCTAATCCGCTCGATCTCGATGTAATTTTCTGTATGATAAACTAGCCCCGCCGGCTATTTAATGGCAGACGACTTCGACTAACAATCCATTTTTTGCATCTGGGTACGGATACCAATAAATATCTACGGTAAACGAGCTTCCAATGAAAACGACATATGATCCGTTTACAGATTTGCCCGGCTCAAAATTCGAATTTTGAGTTACCTGGAATAAATTGGTGTTTTCAGGTTCAATTCATAAGTAAAAATGGAACAATTTAAATTTATTGAATTTTTACTTTAAAAGAAAAGTTTCGGCCTATTTTTACATTTGAAAATTTGCGGCAATAAATGTGATCTGGTGCAAAAGGTCTGCCCGGAAACATGACTTGCTGTGCACCCAAACCACTAATCCCGCTGCGGTTTGAATTTGCACCTGGGTTCGGGGTATAACAAAAACAGCATTTTTGTCAGAGCCCGCCAAATTGGGCAGTAGCAGATCCCAGTCTCCCGGGTTTGCGACATTTCTAGAAGTATGCGACATTTATTTCGGGTCGGAAGCACGGTATCCTAGATATCTTACAAAAACCATTCGCTAGGGTGCCGCAAAATCCACCGAGGGTCGTTTGATGGGGCTCCGAACTGCCAAATCAAAGCCCGTTTGGGAGGGCTCCTTGATTTCCGGCAATCCAGCGGGCGCTGCGGGATGAGTGGATGTAGAAGTGGGTTTTCAGTATTACGGTCCCAGTAAACCCGAAGATATAATTCAAAAATGTCACTTCAGCCATCTGAAAACAAGCCGCTTCTTTCTGCCGAATTTGAAGCTCGGAGGTACACCACTGACAATTTGATTACTTTAATTCAGCGATGATGATTGACCTAATAATAAATGGCATCATAACAATCGCGTTAATGAAACTTTTAGGGCCTGGAGTTTATGTAAAGGGGTTTTTTATTTATATGCCTTCAGCCACACAAAAGTTGAATATAAATGTCACAGATAAAATTAAAAAAATTTTGCCACAAGCCATTATGCTTCACCAAATTTCTAGTTTCGCAAAGCCATGTTGCATTTTACACCCGTCTTTTTACGAGTTACACGATAAAGAAATTTGCGTCGAAATGAAAGGTGGCAGATACGGTTCAAAACTATTGCTGCAAGGGAACGTTTGCAAATTACCCAAAAAGCCTGCACGAATGAATAATGGAAAATGGTTGTAAATAAACACAAATACCAACACCAATTATATTCGCTGAAAAGTCATTTTCGCTAAGGATTCAAAATTTGTATTCCGCGTATCTGCTGCCCATTTAATTCTACACGGCGCTTCAGCCACTTGCCAACTTTTCACGGGAATTTTAGTCAATTCGAAAATGTTGGGCTTCACCTTACTAAAGTGTTCTTTATTATTCGGTTCGACTTATGGATTAGAATCACCTTGGCGGAAAGGGAGTCCGGGTCGCGATTCGCCAAGTTGAATTGCGCGCGTTTCGATAGTTTTTGCAATTGATAGGCAGCCATGACCTCGATGATCTACCGGGGCCGTCTGGCAGTAGGATTGGGATGGATTGGAATTTGCCAGGTTTTAATAAAGACAAAAATGGCATATCCAAGTCCTAAAGATCACCCCCTCAGCCTGGACCTCCCAAATATACCGCTTGGTGAGATCTGGCAAATGGATGATGATGATTTATCACGTATGCTGTGGCCCTTCAAAATTGTAAGGAGGAGGAAAATTCCAGGAAACCCTTACGACGACGATCCAATGCTGCGGTCTAGAGCCAATTCGTTTGATTTGCTTGGTTAGTACATCTACAGGGTGCCCCAATAAAAAGCAGCCCCTCTAACTCCGTGGAGAAGCGTCGGATCGGAATGGTAATTACACCATTCAAAAGTGATTAAAATGGCGAGTTTGCTGACATCTTCATAATTGTGTTTTCTTTAAAGCACTTATTTTTATGCTATGGAAAAAATGAGGGAACTTCCTCTTCATTCAATTAACGGCACATCCGGTCATTCTGCTTGTAGAAACTGAGGCAAATTGGCTCACATCCGAAGCGGAAAAACCTGGAAGTTCTACAAAATGGCTTGCAGCGTCGCGTTTGGATAAAAGAAACCTGAATATGACGGAGCTCGCGAACTCGCCGTTTCCACGGCTATCGAGTAGTGTAAGCATCGTTCCGATCCGAAACTTGTGCGCAGAGGTAGAGCGGCTGTTTTTTATTAGTACACCCTGTAATTGTTGTCCCATGATAATTCTCTGCTTAATTCTTTAGATTTCGTAAACGACGATGTGGACGATCCTGCAATTCGGAGCCCATCACGAAGGGGTCGGATCGTACTACACGAATTGTCTAAAAATTCAGATTCTCCTGCACGGTTCGATGACCTGGATGAACACCAAGAAATTCCGGTTGAGAAGGAAAAGACGAGGAAACGTAAGGACCAGAATCCAGGCCTAATCGATTGAATTTAAACCTCTAAAACTTTATTCAGGGAAGCGCAAAGGTTCCGAGTCATGGGGCGCAGGACATCTACCACCCGCCGTCCCAAGGGATCAACTGCAAAATTGTACTTGCAAAGTAAAAACGACAATTTTTCCAGATCTCCCCCTCGTCTGATCCAGACCACATGGAAAAGAATGCCAAAATCCTGCAGGAAAACCTGAAAAGACGCATGTTTTATGGGAGAGAGATAAGAACTAAACTTGTTTCGAGTTTAGGCCATTATGGCGACCGGATGCATCATTGGCAACCGGATTTAGACGGGTTTCAGCGGATCGCGAGGAGGAGTGGCCGGAAAACGCTGGCTGAAAATTTAGGTGATTTTGAGCGGCTTCGTATTATACAGATGTCCCGCTGAAAAAGGCCATGCTGGCATTACGCCATTTCCGGCCCGGTCGACTTGAAATTTTGAAAACAGGCGTGCAAAGGACCTAGTGTTTCCATAACTTGCCCAAAGGTATTAAAAATGTTACCAACAACAACTTACAGCCCAATCGCTTTAAAGACCCTTGGAAAGATGGCCGGGCGTCCTTATGGGTGAGGGACCGACGGGGCGAAACCATGCACGCTTTCCATCGCGTAAGGGCCCCCAAAACCCCCGACTAGGTTTCCAGAAAACGGGTTTATAGCCATAACTTTTTTTGATTGACTATATTTTTGGCTGGAAACTTCCATAAAAATAGTTTTCAGCCATCCCCATCGGTGATAAAAATTTGAGGCTGATTGGATAGAAGGCAGCTATGTTCCGAGCGGAAAGATATTTTTGGGGCGCTTTTTAGTTCAAAAATCGTCGGAAAGACTATAAAACACTTCAGCAAATCAAGGGAGTACTTTTCTCGCCCTTATCAAGCTTTTCCGTAGGTTTTTCGTTATTATTATTTGTAAATAGCTTTATTTTGAATTGTTCCCCAGGAACGTGCACCAGTTCGGCCCTAGGGTACTTGAGGCCCCTCCGCCGCCCTCACCCATTCGACCCCTTTGGTGTGGGGGTAGGGCGTTGGACTGCGGGGCGGACCATCCCTGGTTCGACCCCCGGCCGGTGCACCTCTTCTTGCTTTTTGAACAATCCCATCTTTCCAGAGGCCTTTAATAGTTTTCTCGCCATTACCAAAACTCTGTTTTTCTAGAATGTTCGCTTCAGAAACTTCGTAGGATAAAAACGGATTGGCCCTTCATTTTCGCCGTACATTCTGATAAAATTTCAGATAATGGTTTTTATTTTTGTATTTTTAATGATTTTTTGAAAAACGCAAACTGTAGCCAGCGCGCGAAAGTTTCTGTAAACCTTTTAAATATCCATGCACAGTTCTGTTAAAACTTGCAAAGCGCTGGTATGTAAAATAAACTTTGGTATAGTTGACAACGCTCAAGCCGTCATCAAAAGTCAAATTCCAGTCCGAGCAAACCAAATCGACGCAGCGCTTCGGGCACGCCTGTTGGAGGAGCGACTCTTTGCCGCGCATTTTAGACTTCCGCTTGATACGGATGCGCTCGTGGCTGAAATGCATCTCCCGAAAGATGAGGTGGAAAAGGAATTTTTTTTTCTGGTCAGTGCACCAATTTTAGATAGAAAATCTGAACGACGCTTATGCGAAACGTGAAAAACAGTATGAAATGTTTGAGATCCAACTCCGACCCTTGCAGTTATTACGATGCAAACGAAAGAAAACGGAAAGCGAAACTGGGGCCGAGGAGCCCGAAAAGTTTCGTTTTGAGCAAAAAAAATGCCAGTATTTGTAGATGTCCACCAGTCACAATCCAAAAGGGCGCGTGTGGCAGAACAGCGGCTGGCAACGCGTACTGCTCAAAACTTCTCTTAATGCGAACGATTTTAATCATTTCACAAAATTAATGGAAGGAATAAGGGCAAAGATTTAGGTGAAGATCATGACTACTTGCCCAAAAAGGCAAAAGTGGAAAAATCAAAGCCAAAGACGGACAATGTTGCTGTGGGAAACATTGAGTGTACGTTTTTGCGAGTTTGCGATCGTAATGTCGAAATTTCATAAATTCGAATTTCGAAATTCGAGATTTTGATGTTGTCCACATTTTTTGCATAGGATTTGGCGTTTCTTTCGGGGAATATTTACTTATGTAAATTTAGACACTACGAGATGTCGGCATGACAATTTTTGACATTAGCCTCTTTTCCGGCTCCTTCCGCTTTCAAACAACTTTTGTAGCCTATAAAAACCTAATAATTCCAGATATTGGCCCGGGCGATGATCCGGACTATCGAGCAAAGAACTCGGCGATTCTGAAGGAGAATCTACGCCGGCGTACGTTGAGCCTTTGACGATAGCATGCATGCTTCTAGGAGGTTTCGAGGGGCCCATTCGGGAGCATCGACCATGGCATGATGGCATCAACACTTTCATCAGCCCAAAGTTTGCCAAGATTCGTAGGTTATAGCTAGATATTTGAAGCTACTAGAGTGTTCCAATCTACCTCAATTTTAGAAAAAACCCTCGATATACCCGAGGAGAAAAAATGGGCCATTTTCGAGGACACCCTGCTGGCTCACCAGAAGAAGATTGATTTTGACGAGAAGGGGCTGGCTGCGAAGCTTGGCATTCCAGAAGCAAAGGTTAGGCGTTTGGCGGCTTTTTTTGAACGAAGCTCTTTTAGGTGAAAGCCCTGAGGAGCAACTACTACAAATCGGAAGGGCTGTAATTAGATGATTTCCGTAATTAATTCCATTTCTTAGGGCGCAACGTGGGAGTCAGCCAGCCAATTCCATCAGAACTGTCGGTACGCTGTCTTGACTAACATCTGCAATTATGTCATTTCCCTGTAGCCATCAACCCAGCATTCAGCAGAAACGATGGCAATTACATGGGCCAACTGCGAAAGAACATGCGTAGGCTGAGTTGCTAGCATAATGTCAAAATTCAGCATGTCGAAAGCTCAATATGACGACATTTTTTTGCATAGAATTTGGTGTTCCCGGGAGATTCAATTAAATTTTGACATTATGAAATTTCGACACTAAAATTCAAAGAAAAACATTTTTCTTGTTTTACTTGGTTGCTTGTTCGTAAAGCTAGCTTTAGTGCGGGCGCATGAGGTGATGGATTTTAACGAGTTCCAGAAAACCCAACAGTATCGATTACTACGCTTGGAAGGACACGATCCGGAGAATGGATTTGGGCCTCATTTTCAGATTACATTTCCTTAGATGCGTCACATTTTTGATACGGTATCCCCGGATGTTCGCGAAAGGGGTGGGCTTCGGTTTTGGCACAAATATAGGGGATATTTAGTGGCAGGCTTCCAACGAGATGGGCTGGACCTCGAATCGCGGACCCGGAGATTGCCGAACGCATGGCCTGCTGGAAAGGACCTCAATACCACTTTTTTTTTAGCTTATCAGCCGCCAAAAATCAACTATAATAATTTTCTTGACGCGTCCGTCCGTCCGTCCGAAGCCGAATTCAACTCGAAGGGGAAAGAAGCTAGAGCTTAGCTCTCTTCGGATTCGGATAGAGCGTGATCAGAAACCCCCAAGCTGATAAAAAAATTATGAAAAAGTTTTAGTTTAAATTATTAAAATTAACTTTGAAAGTTTTTTCCTTAGTAAAAGGGGTGGGGGACGGAGGTTGTGGTGATTTCGGACATAGTGAGCCTGGTCGCGCGCGTTTCGTGAATGAAAATTTTCACGGGGGATTTCATTTCTTTTTTTCTCTCATTCCATCCAGTCGGTCGTTATTTTGCTTTTTTAAGGGGATTTCGGCTAGGGGAGGTATCTTAAATCATCAGGAAGGTATTTAGGTAGTTTTTGAAGGGGATTTCAGCCATGGGTGTAACTGAAGCCATCAGGAAGGTATTTAGGTAGTTCCTGAAGGGGATTTCGGTTATGGGGGTTTTTGATGGAGGTGGGAAAGGATGTGATGGAGTGGGACATGTAGGGTAGCCCGAAGGCCAGATGGTTGCAGTCGCGAAGCGACTGTAACCCTCTGGTTATAGTATAAGCCCAACGGATCATTCAGATCATATGTATGCAAAGAGGGTGCCCTATGAAGATGGCTGGAGAACGCATAGGATTCCGGGTGATCGAGACAATCTCGGTGATTACGAGTTAACGTTTCATCCTAACAGCTTTTCTCAGTTCCCATAGCCAACCCATGCACCCGGCGTGAAAAAAGGGCCGCTGATGCCGCGGGGCGCGTTGGCTGCAATTTGGCCATCAAAAACCTAAATCGACCAAGGGATGATGTGGCGAAAGTAATTTTTACGTTTTTATATAATTTTCAGCGTTTACATTTTTTGATTTCTTTGCCGGTTGTGAATTTTTGTGCTTGAATAAAAGTTGCAATCAAGCATACCAATTCCTAGTACTTGGAAAGCAACATGAATGGTATCGGAGTGGAGGCACGAAACAATCGTACATCGTTGAGTGTACACCAAGCGTACATATGTCGTTTTCACCGTGTTTATGACGTTCTCGATTTTCTAAAGAACTTAAAATGCTAGTAACATGTACTTAAATTCCAGTCGGAAAACGGCAAAGGAGGAAGCGCGACAAAGCTCTAAAAATTGTACCTGAAATCATGTATCGGCTGGTCTAGTTTTGTACCCGAAGTAATCATAGCCCTATCTGTATTTGCCGGCAATTTCCCGCTTTTTAGAAAACACGCGGCGGTTGAGCTCTCTATAATTTAAAATCAGCGACAACAGTTTGTAGCCAGTTTTGCCTCTTCATCCACAAGCTAGCAATTTTGATGGATCTTTTACTTGTGATTAAGTGGGAGACGGCGCGAAGGAAGTTGCTAGAAAATACGTTTCTGCTCCTGTCTATAATCGGCAAGCGACGTTTTCGATTCGAGTGGTGCATAACTTTAATAGATTGGCGAGTAGCCAGGTTTCCATGGCTAAGAAAAAGATCCTAAACGCGGCCCACCGCATCCTATACACTTTTTATATCCCTATTACGCTGGTAAGGCATTTTAAATGGGGTTTAACTTCATTGAAAAACATTTCAGCTAACAGTCATTGCGCTTCCGGTCCATATCTATTCGATATTAATAATTCTAAAACGAAAATCCCTGGCGTTTTCGGTGAAATTCCTGATGGCCTTCATTGCGATCAATCGAACGGCATCGGCCGTTTTGCGGAGTTATTTTGCAATGTGTTATCGTCGGTAACTTCCCGCACCGCGCTTGATATGTTTGATTAAGCAAAAATTGCTGGACCGAGAATACCTGGTCGTTGTGGGCAGATCCAACCCTAACAAATGTTGTTGTAGTGTGTCTTTATCAAATCGTCTCGAGGTCCACGGCGTTTATGGAGTTTGGACTTTCGATTAATCGGTACGAGCAACAGAAGGGGTGAGAGAGTGAGTGTTAGAGCAAGAGAGAGTGAGCGAGAGTAAGAGAGTGAGAGCGGGAGGGAGAAAGAGAGAGTGATAGAGAGAAAGAAGAGAGCGAGAGAGCGAAAGAGTGAGCAAGATAGCGAGTAGAAAGAGAGAAAGCGAGAATGAGGGAGAAGAGAGCGAGTGAGTGGGAGAGAGAAGGAGCGAGAGTAAGAGTTTTCAAACAAATTTTCCAGCTTTTTCGCCGTTTTCTTCGAAGGCCGCTACTATCGCAACGTGCAGAAGACGACCATTCCGTTGGCTATATTCTCCGTAGCTATATTTTGCGCCTACTATCTCTCGAAAATCTACGGAGAATGGGAGCATCGCGGGGAGTACGAGGATGACGGCGTCGATTACTGGGTTTTCCGGGGAGACTATATCAATATGGATGTCGAAATGACCCGCGCTGTCAGTTGGGAAGACGATTTTCAGGTTAGTGCTTGTTGGGAAACAATTAGAGATACGTACGCGTTTGATATACAGGCTATCCCATTAAAAAACACCCCTCCAACTCGAGGCAGAAGTATCGGATCGGAATGATAGTTATATTGTTGTAAATTCTCCGTTTCAAGGGCTTTCGAATGGAGTAACTATCGTTCCGATCCGATACTTCTGTCTCGAGTTACAGGATGTGTTTTTTTTCTTGGGACACCTTGTATAGCCTCCAATTTCAGCTCCAATTTGGAAATGCCCTCGAGCAAACGCTTCTTGGAGCGTCATTTATCAGTATATCGGCCGATACGCTTGTTTATTTATTTTTGAGGATAGCCGTAAGTCACGAAAAATATCATGAATTTCGTGATGCCTTCAATAAGCCCAATTTTTAGAAACAACACCAACCGACCAACAACAACCAAAAAGTCAGCGCCGAGCTACGGCTGTCGATCTTGGTAAATCCGGCGGTGCGCTGCATACTTTGAATTTTTTGAGGCCTTCACGACGCACCTCGTCCAAATCATCCCGACAATCACCCTTCAACCCTATATCTTTACTACCTTTCGATGGGTGCTATCCCATTACGTAACCATCTACAACTATCACTGGAATACGGTGCAAGGTGTGGCACACGTCATCATGTCGTACGTTTTCAGCGAGGTTAAAAATTTTTGGTTTAGGATCGTGATAATTCTGCTTTTACGGCCTACAGAAGAGGAAAAAAAGGCAGCAACGATCAGTCAGAGCTTTAAAACTTAACCGATTGAAACGGATGGTTGAAGGACACTTGTTAATTGTTTTATATAAAGCTTTTTGTAAAACCTTAGTTGTTTTTTAAACCGCATTTCCATTAAAAGGTCAGAATCCAGATACCCCCCCACCAGCCAGCTGGGCCCCCATAGGTCCTATTGGTGCGCCGAGTATCTCAAAATGTTCGCCGTGGTCTAAAACCTAACGGAAAGTTGTTTGGTTCCCTCAAAAATTGTTATAAATTTTTTTATAAGAAGTATAAGTTTGGGTCGCCTGTGTTAATTTTTCCTAACCCAAAGTCGAAATTGGTATCTCGGCTCTAGTTTGTCATACACGGCTGGTAAGGGTACCAAAATGTAGCTCTTGACCTGGAGAATACGAAAACGTTTAATTTGGGTCGAAAAATCATCACGAAAAAGACGAAAATCGACGTCGAAAATTTTAAGCTTGGGCTTGTCTAAAGTTTTGCGAAAAAAATGATATAAAAATTTTTCTAGCTATTTTCGACGAAACCAAACAACTTTCCGTTAGGTTTTAGACCACGGCGAACATTTTGAGATACTCCGCGCATTAATATGGCATATGGGGGTCGAGCTGGCTGGGGGGTTATCTGGAGTTTAGCCCATTAAAACTTTGAATTCGACGTTGCACACCTCAACTACACTGGTGTACATGGAGTCCCAAAAAACGACCCCCCCTCCCTCTAGCGTTCCGGAGAAAGGTCGGATCGGCATGATTTTCGTTTTAAGAAATTTTTTAGCCCGCGCTCAATACTCAACAATTTCTTAAAAAGAGGAAAATCAGGGTCGTCCTGTTTGCTTTAGCAAGCAATTAACATGCTGATTTTGCATAAAATCTGCAGTTTTCATGGATTTTGTTACTAAATTTAATGAACTAAGATGACTATATTGAAAAACAAAACGTGCTTATTTGCTAGCCTCTTTGAGAGCTTTCGATAGATACCTAAACCGCCACAATCGGACATGACTGAGTGAAGCCCGCTGGAGGGGGCGATCTTTTTGGGACACCCTGTAGTCAAGAGAAGTACAATCTGTAATTATCATCTCGGCCTAAGCCTTAGGCGAAGAGTTTTATTGCTCTTGTAGGCCGGTAAAAATCAAGCACGAGCAAGGCAGCAATTTTCCAGTGTTGTGGGGAGAAAAAGCTAGTCCCTTTTCCCCCCACTGCCTATCCTGTGACCCACTGACCGTAATCCTCCCCAGTTCAAATCACTGCGGATTACGTGTCGTAATGTCTTTCCACTCATGGGATTTCCTCCCTAAATTATCGCTCTATCCGTTTTTACCCTGAAGCTGTTCCGAATAAACTTCTAACGTTTATTCGTCACAAATGATCCATCAAGCACACTCGCGGACACAACAGCCAGAAATTTCTGGAAAATGTGGCCCCCCTTAGGTTGATCATTAATGTCACTTTTGTCACTTTTAGAACGTCACGAACGATCATTGTACCCTCAACATGTACAAATGTTTATTAGCTTTGTCGAATTAGGCAACTCCGTCGACCCGCTCAACCGCAGTGGTATCGCATCGCCAGACCGCTAACACCAGAAAAATGCTAAAAATCGGATTACGTGTGTTTTTACCTGTGTACCTGGCCACCAAATTTGAAATAGCCCTCATCGCTGTTATCGTCATAAACGTCACCAACTCGTGCGGTATTTTATCGTGTAGATCCCGTGACCAGTTCAGCATAGATTCAGAGACCAGAGGCAGGACCGAGCAAAAACACGCGGCCGCAAACTAAAAACTTCATAGGGGATATGTCCGCAGTTACTGGCGGACAGCTTGTAAAACACGTACCCATTTCCCAAACCCAAGCAAAAGACGACGATTCTCTTCATTACTGGCAAGTTTCTGAAGATATTTTTTGACGGAAGCCTAGGCTAGCGACCTGTCTTCGGGAAACCCAGTGGCTTGCCCCACTGTAGAGAGCAGTTAAATATAAAAAATGTGGGCGTAGGATAATCCAAATACCATCGCCACTGTTCCAAGCCAGCTCATGAAGCTGCCTGCAACTCTTCGCTTATAAATGGCGTGTTACCGTTGTACAGGGTGAGGCATATATATCGAAGCACCCCCGGGCCATGAAATTTCGCATGCAAGCAAAAAACTAAACAGTTTTTGGGAATTGTGTATATTTAGCATAATAAAATAAGTGGTTCCTGAGGCAGGGGTCAAAGAAAAACGATCGCCGACTGCCTTGTTTTTCATTTATTATTTAGAAAAGTTTAGCCGTTTTGTCGAAAAAGTGGTGTTTTGGCACGCTACTCCTAGAGATCGGCCTAAGCGTTACACCGTCTCAGGATTTTCGATTCTAGCTTGATTAAAACCTATCTAAACATTGCAGACGTCGGATAGCCAAAAACAAGCGAAAAAATTTTGTTGTATTCAAAAATCATGCCCTGACCCAACCTCAGGTCCTCTATCGTACCGACTTCAAAATGTATTACAAAATCAACGCTCGAAGGAAACTTTTGTTTCAGCAACTTTTCACATTATAAACCTTTGATAAAATCAGGTGCCGTTGACCAAATCAGAAAATTATACACCTAAAAGTCGCAAACTACAACTTTATGATTTTTACTATGCATTTTGAGGACGGCTGTGTCATAATATGAAAGTTCCTTCTGATGTAGCTAAATAAACTACAGCTGCGACCATTATTTGTTGTTCCTACATCGAAACAATGTTTTTGACACACATAGGTGCCCGAATCAGGATTTTCGAGGCCTGCCGAAATCAAACTCCAAGGGGTTGCGTGCCAAGCCCACCCCCAGAAGCCTCAAGTTTTAGATGAAACAAAATTTTTTCGATAATACCAGGTTTTATTATTTTGGGAACTTGGAAGTAACCCTAGTGGCTACATCTTGGCGAAATACAACGGCACACCGAGCTTTCTTAAATTTTTGAGAGCCTTCCGTAGGTGCTTCGATATAAATGCCTCACCCTGTAGAGGGTCGCGGATTATATGCCGTCTAGTGAGAGAGAGAGAGAGAGAGAGAGAGAGAGAGAAGGAGCGAGAATGAGAAAAGACAAATGTAAGCCACCTACACCGATATCTCCCAATATTCATTCGGGAAGTAGGCGTAGCCCAGATATTTCTTGAAAGTGCCTATAAATTCAACGACATTATCGCCATTTTTGCTAGCGTCTAGTGACCTCACAATAAATAAAAAACATCATTGTACTCAGCTCGACGAGCTCTAAAAGATGAGCATGCTCTGTGAGTTCGAGGCACACATGTGGGCCAGTTGATGTTAGCAGCCTTGTTAGCAGTGGATAGCAACAACGTTGCTATCCACTGCGCGGTGAATGCGCGTGGTGATTACATGTCGTAACGCCTTGTAAGGCACCCAATCTCACGATCTCGGTGATTCTCTGATCAATTTTCATAATCAAAAACGGCTAGAATGATCAAAATGCAGTGAGGATTCCAGAAATAGCGTCAAAATTTTAAAATTCAAGCGTTTTCACGTACAAATAGGGTTAAAAAAATCATGCGGCGCCGTCGCGTTGAACGAAACCGCTGCCAGAAATCAACGCGGGGGACGTGGACCAGATTTCGGAGCCCCTTTAACATAGACGCTAAGAAAACCACCCACTTTCCCAAGATTTACCATAGCCAATCTGCGTCATATGGCTGATAAACGGTAAAATCATGGCGAAGACGGGCCAAGCGATCATGTACTTGCTCAACATATCGTCGTAGTGCCCGTTGAAGGCCACGGTGATTCCGCTGAAAAGGTTAGGGCGAAGGTTTTCCGCAAAGACAGTCTTTTTACCGCGACACGGCGATCCCAAAGCGCAACAACCAAAACCAGTCCAACACGACGACATGCAGCGTTGTCACGTACAAATTCACATGCATCGGATTGCCGGCTTTTTGGCAGTCCCACCTAGAAATCCCGTTTAACGTTAGTTAAGCCAAGCGAGATAGGACACAAATCATTAATCCATGTGGTATACGCACTCCTTGTTGCACTCATACTGATAGAATCGCACGGCCCCATCATATAATAATCCGATGGCGTAAGGGATGAACGACAAATTGAGTAAACCCAGAATTTTTCGCCGAATAAACAGTATTAACAATAAGGCCAGGCCAACAAGACATTGCAGGCAGCCAACCTAGAAATACGATGTTTTAATTTTTCTAGAAAATTCTAACAACCGCCATAAAACCGGGCTCCAAAATACGATCCAATTGGCGGTTTATGCTCGATTCTTTCATGTTCTCTTCATATCGCTCCCGGGGAAACAGCCGCCCATCCTCGTACCACTCAGGATCATAATAATAGTCATTGTAGTAGTCACTATCGTAATACGCGGTCGTTGTGGCTATCGACTCTTTCATGACTAGCAATAGACGGAAAAGCTGTCGAAGTTTCTTCAAATTGTGATTGCTGCTTGGTAATATACAATTAAGTGCCCGCGTTTCAAAGCGACGACAGTGTAAAAAAGTACATATGCGGGGTTGATTTTTGCTCGCAATGGTGCGGAGTGGCCTGCAGAAAGCTCTTTTGCGAACCATCGGATTTTCTGATGTTTTCTGACCAATGGGTTTTTCACATTAATCGCAATTTAATCATTTTCGCGCTTTTCCTCGCACCGAACGACGCTTTTTGAAAGTCGTTTGCGAAAACACGATTTGGGTTTACGTTTACGTTGTTTATGAAGCCGGTTTCGGCAAATTGAGTTTTTAACAAAGAAGCGTGGAAAATCCCAAAAATAGCAAAAATTCAGAGATGTTAAAATAGGAGAGCTTTCGATAGATGCCTAAATCGTAAAAATCGGAGATGATTGCGGCCTGCCGAGGGGGGATTTTTTTGGACACCCTGTATGTACGATGCACTTTTCGAACTTATTGTTGGAACTTTCGACATCTTTGTTGTCCTGACCCGGAGCGTCTCTCTTAAACCCGCCTCGAAAATGAGCGCATCGCGTGGCTAATTACAAAAATGCCCGTCCGGCTCCTCTTTTGTTGTGAAAAAGGCATGGAGAGGGCTAACCTAATTTGGGTGGGCCTCAGCGGCGATGGTGAGCAGTGGCCACCCAGTTTCTGGGTGATAGAAAGGAGGACGAGGACAAGCAGCCTCCCTAAATCCCATTACCAAGGCACGAACAGAACTGGTCAGTCCATTTCTGTCTATTCTGACAGCAGCCAAGAATTCATATTACGTGTTTTTATCTCGTTGCTATTTTAAAGCTCTAAAATTCGTCTGGTATCAACTTTTATAAAAAGGTACGCTTCCCTGAATCTTTATAATTTAGGCAACAAATTTAATTATTCCAACCTTCCAACAAACCCAGCTTAACCGTCTTTTTTCGAAGTACGATACAATGCACGTGCTACATCTCGTCCTCCTATTAATGCTCGAGTCGTCGGCTATCGGTGAAAAAATAAAAATTGGCCTGATTTTGGTGGGTATTTAAATGGATTTAAAGATAGTGCAATCACTAGGCAGAGCCATTTGCTTCGATACACCCGGATTGCCAGTGTGCACCTGATTCTGAAAAATGTAGAGGAAATAGTCGATATCGAGGGTTTTGCGTGGATTTGTTACAGGTAGGTTAGAGGGCCGTGTGATACCATAAAAATAGGTTTGTTGGCGAGAGGGAGCAGGGGGGGGGAGAGAGAGAGAGAGAGAGAGAGAGAAAGAGAGAGTTCGAAAATCCAATTTTCTAGTTCATATCAGCTGCCGCCAAGGATTTCGACTATGAGCTGAAAAACGATACCCGAGTTGGTCGACGGCACACTTCCGGTGACTGGGATGGAGCTCTTGGGCAGTTATTTCGTAACGATACCGACTTAGTGATCGGTCCGATAAGTATCACGGCGGTAGAGGCAGTTCGATGATGCCCAAAAAATATCTTTAGAGCCGAGCCGCTAGCTTCGAGTTTACACAGCCGTTTCTGAACACTGGGATCTCAGTGATGATCAAAAAGCCGCAACGGGTGGTAAGAATTCGAATTTTTTCACCTGGAATTTCTCTAAAATTTTGGTTTCTTACGGAATTTTTTCAGTGGACAATCAGTTGTTTTTATTTTTTAGGAACCCGGCCCCTTCTCCTTCCTCCAAGCATTCAGCGTCACCACGTGGGGATACATTATTTTTACCTACGCCGGGGTAAGTAATCTTTTTCCTTAACGCCGAAAATTTTCTAAGATGATTTTCCTACACGTTTTCTTACTCTACAAACGCATCAAACGAAACTACGGGGAGCCGATGAGGTAATAAATTTTTTTTACGTTTTTAGGCATGAACTTTAGGGCCTATTCCGAAAAGATACTACGTACAATTTGCTACGTCTTCACGCTTTTTGTCTTTGGATTGTACACAGCAAATTTGTCGACGATAATACAACATAATTTGAATGTAGGGTTTTTACTCCAAATTGGCCTTGCTTTGGACGCTTTTGGCTTCGCCAGTCAATCAAAATGAGTTGTATTACAGGAAAAAGCGGCAAAATACGTAGATGGAGGGCCGGTTCCAGAATCCCTTGACGAACTATTGGATGGAAAACTTGGGATTCAGCTGGCAGTTGTTAAAGGTGATTTGATCAGCTGGAATTTCTGATTTTCTTTGTAGATGGCTCCACTTCTCAATTTCTACAATACTCCCCAAGCACGTTGTATTCAAGAATTTGGAAAAAGATGATGGATCAGGTAAGAACAATCTCGATTGAGGCAGGCGGCATAAATCAATCGATTCCGAAAATTCTCGCCCCCCCTCTGGGGCCCCCCCCGCCCACTGTTACCCCCCCCCGGGGGGGGAGGTCCTCCCCTTTAAGTTTTTAGGGCCCAGAATCATTTGTATCGAGCTATCCAGAAGGAATCTCGAGAGTGCGGAAAAGTCAGGGTGAGCTTCGGTCAAAAACAAATCAGGTTGCTATAGGGAAATTTGCATTTTTGCTCGAAGAAACAGCGAATGCCTACGTAAATGGCAGAAGGCCATGTGATACGATGAAAATAGGTTCGTCAGCAAAAGCGAAGGAGCGAGAGAGAAAGAGAGAGGGGGGGAGAAGACGAGAGAGCAAGAGAGAGAAAATCAAATCCAGAATTTGCCCATTTTCAGGAGGCCTCCTAAATGGCGTTGGATACGGTATCATCGGCCACAAGGGCTCTCAATTGATGTGAGATTTTTTGCATTATAATTAAAAACTGCTTTTAGTCCCCTGATCAATGAAGCGCTTCTCAACCTGAAGGAAAAGGGCGAACTCTTGCGCTTGGAGGACAAGTGGTGGAAACAGCAGTCAGAGTGTAACGTCGAGACGGTATTTTAGACGATCCCGAGGCTCAGTTAAATCACGGTTCCAGGATCTCAGCCCAGGCCTAAAATTCCGCGCTATTGTCGGGCTATTCTATTTCATTGCCGTGATGTTGGCGCTGAATCTGGTACTAAGAATTCTTGAAAAAATTATATAGTTGTTTTTAGGTATTTGCAGTTTTTGAGAACGTCATCTGCCGCACAAAGAAAACGTTGGAAAGCACCGGCCTAACGAGTTAGAAAATTGATGGTACAAATAAATTCACAAAAACAATGAAAATAAAGAAAATTTGTAGTTTGTATTGTTTTGGAGTCATTTAACTTCGCAGAAACACAACAACAACAACAGAAACAGAAACAGAGTTTCACGTTGCAGAAAAACTTTTGAAATTTTTTGTTTCTCTTGGATTTCGCTTCTTCTAAAATTAATCGGTGCAAGTTTTTTGTATACTTTTGAGTTATGGGGGATAAGAAACTGCAACTTGTAGCCATTTCCTACCTAAATCCAAGCGATACGATTCATATTAGCAGCTTTCAAACGTGACCGACCCTGACCCTTTGTCCTCCAGCGGTCCCTAAATGGTGCCAAGCCCCCAGGGCCTTGTTCTGCTAATCTCCCTCTCAAATATTTGATTTGAACCCCCCAAAAAGGTTTTGCCAGGGCCGGATGGATCAAAAGAGGGCCTAGGTGAGGGTGGTGCTTGAGATTTGGGGAAGGTGCGAGGTGGTGGTGATGGCGACGACCCATTCCTTCTACACGCGGTATCCTTCGGGTCGCGAAGGGAATTCTCAAGCATCTTGCGTCGTCCTTTTTACGAACCCGAGGCGCGGGCATCAGGTGGTGGTGGCAGTATACGTGTTGCTAAGAGCAAATAAAAGATGTGGCAAAGGTATAGAAGGCCACTGGCAAGAGGTGTTGCTGGTACGGTGCTGGAAAACGCGGTTCAAAACTTCAAGGCGCAACATCGAGCGTGTTTTTGCGCAAAAACCGACTGCTTTCTGGCATACGAAAAAGACGCCTAACTACAAAAAGACGAGGCTACCTAGCAAAGATTCTTTGGGATCAAAAATTCGGTATAAATTAACTTAAAAATCCGCTGAACGTTCCAATTCCGTGTGTGCGCATCGAAACACGACGATACTTTACTTTGTTTCATTTTTTAGACACGTTTTAGACGCAAAATACATTTGGCCATTAATGCGTAAATTAGAATACTTCTAATCTACAAAAAATTTGCCTTCACCATCTTTTAAAACACGGTGCACGAAGGGCTGGATATCCAAAAAACCGTGATTACCTAACCTTTGTTGACCCCTTCCGACCGACTTTGAAATCGAATACCGAGTAGGCACTTCGTTATGATACCCGGTGCCAAATATCACCCCGAGGTTACAAGTGGGTCAACGAGGAAACGATGGGCAAACAAGGCATACCTAAATATTAAACCTCTAACGGTAAGATTACTGTAACCTGAGGACCCTTTCAAGTTCCTATCGCTAAAAGGCCAAGAGAACCCGCTTTTGAGCCCGGGAAGCACCTAGGGCCAGGCTAGGATACTGTATTACTAAACTTCCAACAAGTTTTCAAGTTTATCAAGCTATTTTAAGTCATGTAGGGCTTCTAATCATGTCCTTGAATCGACAATATTTCCCCTCATGGCCCAACTAGCCCTTCCAGACCCTTGAATCGCCGCTGGATGTCTTTTTGCGGGCCTTGGGAGTGCCAAGTGTGCGCGTGATCCAATAGACGCCTTTTGTCTCGCCCACATCGTCACCCTTTTTGCTACTATTCAATTATCCTTTCATGTTTTCAGTAGACACACAATGTTTTTGCTTTGATTATTGGGGTACAGAGAAAAAAATCCAATAATGTTTGCCTATGGATTCGGGGAATTTATAGGCATTTCGTAGATCTCTCTATGACTTTCTCTCCCCCTCTTTCGCGCTCTGGCTGTTTATTTCTTTAACTCTCTACACTTTTCTCTCTCCCTCTCTCTCACTCTCTCTCTCTCGCTCTCTCCCGCTTTATCTGCTTCCTCCAAATTATGCAAATTTCCGGTAACTAACATAGCAATTTAGAATTCAGAGCTGGTCCCCATCTTCAGGTCCAAATTTTGATGGCCAGGTGGAGAGTGGAGGTCGGCGGGACAAATAGGTGCTAACCGGTGGTGGATAGGGATGAGGTGAGAGAGAACGAGAGTGAGAGAGAGAGAGAGAGAGAGAGAGAGAGAGAGATCCATAGCAAGATGAGTAGCAGATAATGACCGGGTCATTACCGGGCCCCCAGTTGTGCCCCTGGCTCGTGTAGGGTGGGTCCCCCAAAAAGCGCGGCGCCATGCCAATTAGCTACTCACCCCGAGGAGATCCAATCCCGAAAAGGGTATCATGACCCCCGGGTCTTTTGATCGGATGCTATAGGCAAATCGGGTGGCCTGGCAGGTTGGTGTGAACAATTTAGCGGGTCGTCTTTTAGGAGGCGGTAGGGTGACGATTGGTGTCGACCGGAAATGCCTGGGGCTATTGGCATCAGGGCCGTAACAAACCCAGATTTCGGGGGGGGCGACCCCAAAAATTTTTCACTAATATGACTAAAACTACAGCGCCGCAGGCAAAATTTTTGAAAACATAGGGTTTATAACACTGAAACTAGTGTTAAAAATAGACAAAAACAGCGCCGCAGGCAAAAAATTTTTTGGAAAAATTAAATCATAAGGGTCCCCCCTTATGTACTTTTCGGCCTTCGGCCGTTTTCGGGGGGGGGCGGCTCGCCCCCCTCGCCCCCCCCCCTCTTACGGGCCTGATTGGCATGCATCATTGTCTGAGGAGGAGTACGGTGGGTGAAATTTTGGTTATACTTTGAGCCGGAAGTAACAGTATTCCTCAATATTCGAGCTGCTTGTCTTTTTCTAGATGTCGAAAATTACCATTATTTCAGAAGGTTGAGAGATATACAGGTTGTCCAAAACCCCCCTCTAGAGGCCGTCAATCGGATCGGATCGGAATGATTTTTATACCAATCGAAAGCTCTCGGAAAGGCGCGAAAACAAGCGGGTTTCGTTTTCTAAGATTTAATCTGATTCTATCGATATTTCAAGTTTTCCTAAAAAGCCGGGAATTTTTCATCAGGAATTTCGCAACTAGCATGCAGATCTCGCATAAATCAGCAGTTTTCATGGTTTTTGCACATAAAATTAGCAAATAAAAAGGCTTAATTAAGAAATTCAACCCTCCTTGTTTTCTCGCCTTTTTGAGAGCTTTCGATAGATACCTAAATCGTAAAAATCGGAATCGACTGCGGACCGCTAGGTAGGGGGGGTTTTTTTTGGGACACCCTGTAGAGATATGATTTTGCGTATTTTTACGGCATAAACAAGACCATAAATTGCGCACTAAATTTCTGTGCCTGCGCTACAGTATCAATCTTCATCTATTCTTATTTTTCATGCCTACGGGGTTCGCATCGATCTCTTGACAAACCGGAACTTGATCGCCATCCGATCACGATTTTTTAAAACCCTGCCGCTAGCCGCTAATTTTAAAGGAATGCTAAGGGCAAGGGATACCACGACAAGTGTGTGAGAACAATTTGCCCGGGTTGCCCTTTGGATCCTGTCAATTCGACTGATTAGGGGTGGATGCCAAGTAAAAGAAATACCGAATAGCCCGAGTATGCCTTCAGAACTACGGTATGCTCCCCTTGCGACACCATTTCCTGAACAAGCGAAGTGAACATTTGAATTTGCAAATAACTGAAGTTAGCAGCATTGATCAAAAAAAGCTATTTTTATTTAGAGTTTTTCGCCGTTACCGTAAGCTTCACAACGATTTATTTTTCGACCAATTTTTAGGCGGGAATTTTATCCTAAAATTGATCTAGAGCACAACACAAACGGTTTTCTATTTTAACATTTGCAAAACTTCCGTATCAACCGCTGGACCCGACACTTACCTGCAGGGCCTACACCCGGATTTCATCCTAATCCTCTAAAAACTTTGAAGATCCACACGCAACCTCCAAATTTCCCAACCAACCCCCTGAGAAAGGCATCAACCACCTCCTGGACCCCGCACCAAAACAATCCTCGCGATTTGCGTCGACACCGGTGCCCCACATGGGGAATTAGGATGGGATGAGAAGATTCTGGCGATGAAAAGGTGGCTGATCGGCACTTAGGAATTGTCGGCACCTGCGTAACGTCTTCAATATGAGATCGGGAGTTCATCAAAGCAAATTGTTGGCGCCTCGTGACCTTGGCTAGCAAAAAAAATTGTAATCATGCTTAGGAGAAGTGGTAGGAACAATCGAAAAAATTCTTAAAATTGAAGATGAGTCGGTAGGAATCAAGAAACATAAAATCCGGGTAAAACAGCCCTAAATTAAATAAAACGTGAAAATTCAGGGGTTGCAAGTGAAATATCACTCTCTGACCTCCTCTCTTTCTTTCTCGCTCTCTTCAGCTCTCTCTTCTCTCACTCGCTCTCTCTCGCTCTCCCTCGCTCTCCCTCGCTCTCTCTTGCTCTCTTTCTCTCGCTCGTTCTCTTTTTCTCACCCGCGCTCTCTCGCTCGCTTTATCTTTATCTCACTCTTCTTCCCTCTTTCTCTCTCTCACTCTCTCTATCTCCCTCCCTCTCTCTCTCTCCATTTCTCTTTCTCCTTCTCATTCTCTTTTTTTTTCTCTTCTTCTCTATCTCTCTTTACCATAGCTTTGCAGCATTTCCAAAAATTCATCTTTTCCAAAACCGAGCTTTCGATTTGTTTGTTAGTTGTAAGGACCTTTCGATTTGGCTGAGGCTTAGATAAAGTTCTACTAAGCATTTCTTTCTACTTACTAACCCCTATAAAAATATCCAAAACTACTTTTTGTTTTGCTCCAGGTTGGCGCACATGTTGTCTGGCCGATATGCCAGTTGCGCAACGGGTGGGGATGTCCTGACGGCCAGATTCGCACCCTAGCCCCGCACGACTCGTCAACCCTTACATAACTTCCACTGATTGCCCCATCCAGGATGGACTCGCAGCGATAGACTGTACAAATAACGTTTACTTTCCTCTGCACGAGCCACACCCCGGATAATCCTACGGTATGCTAATCCCAGCGATGGCCTGGGGTTCGCAATTTGGTGTAGGTTTTTTTGGGGGATACGGGAGCTGTCAACAAGATGGTAGGTAGGCTGGTAGTAGATAAATAGTTATCTAATCTAATAAATAACTAAAATATATAAATAAAAAATAAATTAATTGCATCTAAAAAGCCTACAACTGATTTGAAAGCATTGAAAACTGTAATTTGAAAATCCAAAAATACCGCCATCTGCTTGGAAAAAAAATTACCAGACGCGGCACGTGGGACAAAATTTACAAGTGAAGCGGGTTGCCATATTACAATTTGGTCGTGAAATTGGTGTTATAGAATTAAATACAGTATCTTTAACATGCTAATCAGGTGAGCTGTCTTAAACTATATTTTTGGGGTTTTCAGAATATTGAAATCGTTTAAAAATACTGTAAATTCAGCCCCTAAAACTCTCAGAATGTCCCATAAAATAACTGCAAGATCCAAATGATTTATTGCGAAATGAATATACAGTTTTCACCAAAAATAAGACAACAAAATCACCATCACAATTCGAAAAACGGGAAACAAAAATAGTTATTTCTGCCGGAGGGGAGAAGCAGTATTATTGCCAGAGAACACCAGTCAAGAACCGATTCGCCACACAAAAAAATCGCATCGGAAATCAGAGAATACTGTAAACTTGCGGTAAATAAAACAGATCGATACGAGATGATAATCTTACAAAAAAAAAGCAAACCAAAAAGGATGTCAAACACAAACTGGAAACGGAATTCATTCCTAACACGGGGAGATTGGGCGTTGGTACAAAAAGCAAAAGTCGCTGAATAGCAAGAGACCACTGCCTTCAAGGGCCCGTTAATACGGCGGTGCGGGGGCCTGGGCGTAGTGGGCGTACGGGTCTGCGTAATACTGCGCGTACGGGGAGTAGATGTTGTTGTAGAAGGAGTAGTTGATGGTGTGGCCGCTGTAGGCCCAGGCTGAGGCGTAGTCTGGAAAAATTGGAATAAGTATCTCTCTCTTGCCCTTTTTCTCTCTTCTCTCCCTCTCTCTCTCTCTCTCTCTCTCTCCCTCTCTCGCTCTCTCTCTCTCTTGTTCTCGCTCTCTCTCCACTTACCAGCTGCCATCGCTGTCTCTTGGTATTTGTCCGGAATGTACGTCGTCGTCGCCGCCACTGTGGTTTTGTCGAACTTCGGCTCCTCCTTCGCGACTTTTTCCATCGTTGCGTACTTCATTTCCGGCGTGGGTACGTACGCAGCAGTCGACGCGGCCGGTTGCAGCCCAAGAGATGCGTATTTTGCTTCATTCCTGAAAAAAAACCGTAAAGTTCACAGGCTCGCTGTGCTCCCGAAATTTCCATTCCAAATCTTCCATTATTAATCACCCAAACCACCACAACCACCCGGCATTTGTCAGCCAATCCCCGAATTCTAAGTGGTGGGGCAACGCGTCTTTTTGTGCATTTCCCAATATTTTCCGCAATAATGGAGCCGGGGCTCGGAAAATATCATCAGAGACGTATTGCCACGGAGTGGCGCCGCGTGACCGTAGGCAAAAATCAAAATCGGGGGAAGCCTTATATCCGTTTTTGGGCGCGGGCGGAGAGGAGAAAAATTGGTTATTTTTTTCGGGGCTTGAGACTTCCTTGTTTTTCTGAGTATTTAAAGGGGCCGCGAAGCCAACATTTGCCTGCTAACCGTTTATTACGCAATCCTGTATCCATAATGCCGAAGTTCAAAATGCCGACAGCTAAAAAGCCGGGAAGTGATAACGCAATTTTGATCCAAATATGAAGAAGTGTTAGAAAAGCATCAACCCGCAAGCGTGTGGGAATTTTGATTGTGGGTCTTTTGAACTGTCTGTATTGCGGATGTCCGCATTTCGAGTGTTTTTGTGTATAATGCGTTAAACTAAAACTCGAACCCTTGCTCCCATATAAAATTACTGGGCCCGATATACTCCCCATAAATCCAGACCTACCGGGCCCTAAAAATTTGAGGTTCTTTTAAAAACTATAATAAGGTTTTTTACGGCCCGTTTTTTACAGCCAATATTGAAAAAAGTATATTTTGATGGATTAATCACTATGTGACCCGATCTTTGACTAAAATCTTAACCCCTTTACTCCCCGATCAAATTCCGCTCCGCTCCTCGTTACTTGGGCCTTGCGTTGGACCCTTGGGCCACGGGGTGTGGATAGGTGTGTGCGGCTGGATGAATAGGGATCGGCACCCCTCGCTCCCCTTCAGAACTGCCCTTCTATAGAATGTGCCCAACGGATCGTGACTTAATTGAAGTCACCGGATGCGATAATTGGACCGAGCAGAGACATGAAAAAGCTGGCGGGGGTCTAGGGTTCATTCTGTGGCTCCAAGGGGGTTACGGTAGCTATGGGTGGAAAGGGTAAGAATTGGCATTGATCCGGAATGATACGGAATGCGCGGAATGGAGGACCAGATCCGGAATGCTGCGGAAAGCTCCGCGATAATACGGAAATGGTGTGAAAAAGCCGGAATGGTCCGGAATCGACCGTATGCTACGAAAAGCTCCGGAACGCAAATATTGTGTCCGGGCCGCTATGGCAAAATCTGGCTCGATACGAAAGCTCCGGAATTGCCGGGCAAGGTTCAAAACTATTCAGATAGCACCAGTATAATTCGGAAAGTTCCGAAGTTCACGAAAATCCAACCTCATATCAAACTCGGCGGTCCCGGGTAGTGGCAACGTCATCGGCTTGTACTCGATTGGCGTGGAAACCTTAGGCTCGGGCGGGGGAGTATCAGCGCTGGAAGAGCTGGAATGTCAGGAATTGTATAGAAAGGGGACTTGGGTTACTGTAGGTAGACACAAATTACTTACCCGGATTGAGTCCGACTCTGACAACGCTCGCCGGTGAGCATCATCCCATTCTTCGAGGCGGCTCGGTCTTTGGCACGGCGGTTCTTGAACCACACTTGGACCACCTGAAATTGAGGGTTAAAGAGAAAAGAGAGTTTATCCAAGGGACAAATGTGCTGTCTCTAAGTTGACTTACCTGCGTGTTAACTTGAGCCCGTCCTTCCGGCAGCTGTATCTGACGAGCCAGCTCCTCGCGCTTGTACAAATCCGGATATTTCGTTTGCTTGAACACATTTTCAAGGTGTTCAAGCTGCATCCGGTTAAAGGAAGTGCGCTCGCGACGTCCGCGGAGTGCGGCATTTCTGCAAAAAGGTCAATTTTTTGAGATCCGGATACCGTAACCGACCAGATAGCCCGGCTAATTAGCCTCTAAAAAATTGCTAGCTATCAAATAATCAGGATTTTTTGGCAGGGTTACTGTAGGTAGCCTCCAAAAATAATCAAGCCGAAAATTTTCAATTTTAACCGAATTACGGTAGGTATGAGAGTTTTCGTAAGTTGCATCCAAAAATTTTCGAGTTGAGATTCTGGCTTAGATAGGCAATAAAATTGATAAAATCTGCAAAATCCGACAAAAATCAATACTACCAGCCGGCAGCCGAATCCGATAATCGCGATGCCGTCTGGCATAATATCCCAGCTTAGCCCGGGCGGACTATAAAATCCCGAACAAATAAATCCGGGCCTTGCCCCCACCGGGTCGATGATCCAAATCCAAATCCGGGTCGTGGAGGATCAACACCCACAAATCCCCATAGATTGCCTTGATCTTTTGCATATAGGTAAATCCGTCGGAATGCTGGCAGATTTTTTTAATGCCAGCTGTGTTAATGTTAATTATTTCGCTACATTTATGCAAATTGGTTCGATGCCCAAATTAAAATGTATTTTCAAATTACAGTATGTATTTAATGTCTCTTAAGGTGTTTGTCAGGCCTTCCCGGTCCCTTAAAAAGGTATAACATCTAAAAAAATAGCTGTCGAAGACGCTAATAATTACGATTATGATTATTGTGAATTTAGCATCTATTTATTCCGTTGATTCATCAACCTTTATGCAAATTAATTCGCTATCTCGCTACTGCTTATACCACCCCCATCCCCCAAAAGGTGTTTACCATAAGAGACACCCCCAAATTAACGAGGGGCATGGCTCTAGGTGTCTACCACCACTACCAACACCATCAGCACCTTGACTTGCCACCCATCATCACACATTTCCGGCCCCCTCTCCCCGGCCCCAGTTTCCGGTTTTGCGCTTCCGGAGTCTTCCACGGTCGCACGCTAGGCGCATGCCAAGGCCGAGGGAAGATGGTGAAAATTAGAATAGGGTGTGTGCCGGGTGGTATCTCATTAGCATCGTATTACAGGGAAGCTTAGGTATTGCGGAAAGGGTTTGACCGGGTGATCCAGGATTCAAAAAATGCTTTGCATCGAAATTTCGCTCATTTTTCTAAGGCACCAGGAACCCAGGAATTTGCTTTTCACACTTTTCTAGACGTCTATCCGATCTATATTAGATTTTTAAGATATCCTGGAGCCATTTTTTACCGTCCCGGCCCCTTGAAAGCTAAGATGAAGCTGAGCACTCGCTTCTGACGATGCCAAAATAGTATAAGATGCCTAGCAAAACATCAACCTTCTTCGAAACCCCTCATTAATGCGCTGACTTTGCAAAAGTCCTTTTTTCGTTTCACAGCCCCTTTAAAATTACCCCCCAGTTAAATTTGCATAAACTAACAAAAATAGATCGTTCTCATTACGCCCACCCGCTTCAAATTCTTCACCCTGACCATCACGCAGCGCTCCCGGTTTCTCGGCTTCTCTGCGATTTTTGCGAAATTTCCCCGTTTTTACACTTGGCCGCACCCCCGGCCGCCCCGGTGAACAATGAGTAATTTGGCATCCAGGGCCAGCAAAAATTCAGTCCAAAAAATGGCCACGATCAGTAGGGGGAGGCGACTAGAGAGGTGTTCGTTATGGTGGGGATAGCTAGCCGGGGTGGCTGCATCTAGGTCAGCTAATATAAAGCTGTGCCAAAATTAGGGACGATGGATTTAAGAGTGAAATTTGAAAACATAACTCCTAAAATTTGGCTTTAAATATTCTTAAATTGGTATTAAATGCCAGGATCCATAGTTACTAAAATTTATTTACATGTCTTCCTTAGTCATTTCAAAGCGGGAGCCAAGGAGAATGTTCTGGATTTCCTGGGGGCTTTGCATAAATCGGGCGGCGAAAACAAAAGCTAATCCTGAAGATTTGCCAGAAAGGGGATTGATGGGAATTTTCTGGGAGCTTGTGCAGTAACGGGGGAGGCGCATTAGGATTTTCGAAGCTGAATAAACTTAATTTGTTTAGGTAGAACACCGCAAAACAGGTTGACTATAAATTTCTCTGATTACGGATGTATCGCTTCTCCGAAATTTACTAACAACGTTTCAAGGTATTTTAATTAGTTCCCATTAAGTCAAACAAACCTAAGCGCCAACCTGTCCTCTCGATTCCTCCTTCCGCCCATGCTTGACCTCGACGACAAAGCTGGTGATGGTGACTTCGGCGAGACCAGTTGAGAACTCTGACCCAACGTCGGCCCGAGTCCACTCGAAAATTGAGCACCAGCAGCCCCGATTGGTCGTGCTCCCGCGGGGAACTGTAGGTGGGGATAGGCGGCGGCGAACGGGTTCGGATACGGTAGCGAGGCTGACGGGAAGCCTGGGAATGCCCCCGGGGCATAGAAGGGGGCTGGACCTCCGCGCATCTGAAGAGAGAATATTGAATTGGCGGAGAGCACAGATTTCCGGCCATCCCCCCGGTCTCACCAAAAGGGGGGTGATGGACCGTGGAAAATATGGGGAGGGGTCGAATGTTGATGTTAAGAAGGGTTCAAGATTAAGGCACTAAAAAGTTGAGGTATAAGCACCCACTGGATCGCCGCCTTAATGAAAAAGAAATTTCACAGCTCTAAACAGTGTAAAATTATCACCTAAGGCTCGAAAGGTCGTTTTGGTCCACCGTATAAATGCGCGAAGCGAACTTCGTTTGCCTTGAGCGTCTTCAAGGAGTTCAGGGTTTTTTGGGTTGGCCTATGGTAATTTCCTTGCAAAATTTCAGCACTAATTCTTGCTCTCTGTCTCTCTACCTGATGCTCAGTCTCACGTTCGCCCTCACTCTCTCGTTCTCTCTCTCCCTCTCGCCTACACCCTCCCTCTCCTTCGTTGTCTATCTCCCCTCTCGCTTTATCTCTCTCTCGCTCTCGCTCACTCCCTCACTCTCTGACTCTTTCCATATCTTCCAAAAGGTTAATTCCCAAATTTTCCTAAACTGCAGCCGGATCTTGGCTTATAGTCTCTTCAACTCCAGCGACTTACCCCAACCCAGTCTCCGAAGGCTACCAAACCCGGAGTGCCACAGTAGAATTCATTAAGCGCAAGTGCGCCCGGAGCTTTGCTGCCGCGGCTAAGCTCCCCTCTGAGAACCCAGGAATTGGGGTCCACCCCTAGCACCTGAGCACCTTATCCTCATCCGGATCCGCCGAAATCCGGCGTGCTGGGAATGTCACGGTGGCCCCGATTTCCCTAATATTGGGCAGATGGAGACGGTGGATTTTGAGAAATGGCGAAAAACTTGAGTCATCAAAGTTGGGCTTACGGATTTGGTTTGCTGTAAACAACGTGACCGTACTTTTTGACGTCCTTTAAAGAGACTGGCAAGGCGGGACTGTGGATGTTCCAGGATGTGGATTTTTCATTGGCTTTGCCGCGCACACGACACGCAACGTGCCTAAAAAATGCGGAAACCATAGCTACAAAATTTACTGCTATACCTTGCCCATCCCTTTAAAGGGACCGGCAAGTCAAAAATTGCTGCGGCATTTGTGGTTTGAAAGGGCACGTAGGTTGGGAGCCTCCGGGGCCGCGCCAGGCTGTAAGCGCCACTTTTTAGCCGGAAAGCCTAGCGAGCGGCCGCGATTCTCTGACAAATAAAAATCGGATTTTCTACAGTAATCCAACAAAGTCAACGGCATATTTCTGGTTTCCCAGCCCCTTTAAATTCTTTGCAAAAAATTCTTTCGGCTCTCTTTTTCCAATTTTCTATCCCGATTTTAACAATTTCGAACTAAGCGAAAGGGGATAAACGACCCCAATAATTCTATTTTGAAGCTTTAATTACCATGCTCAGCCCAAATTCGAAAAAATCGCTTTTAGCCGCAGAATCCCCTTTATCAGCTGTTTCCACGAGGCCCAATTGCTAATCTTTGCCCTCAAGATGCTTTGCACCATTTAATCTTAATTTTTAATCCCTTAGCAAATCCTGTAGCTACGTTCCAATCCTATCTCGATTTCCACCCAAATCCGCAAATCCGTCAAAAAAATTTCCTGGGTTTGTGACATTTGTGCCCCCAACCCTGCTCCCCGCGTTGTGACGATCGACACCGGCCAACTTCTAGGGCTTCTGCCTGGCCCGAGGAGAAGCCTCGATTTCCACTCATTGGATGGCACCACCTGAGCGAGTAGATTTCTACGGCTTCTGGGTTTCCATGAGGACTCGATATCCCGACGGGTTTCCGGCCGCAATTTGAGGCGCCTGAACCATTTTATACCGCCGTTGGGGCCGGGGGGCCGACTTGGCCCCAGGCCCGGGGATTAGCAAAATAATTTCTAAGCCGGGGGATCAGCAGGGTATTTTGACTTTTGGGTATTTAGGGGGTATGATCGAAGTACGTTATGCTACTGATAAAACGGAGGATTTATCGTTAATCGGTGGGATTAATATGCTAATCTGTCGGCTCAGAAAATACAGACAATCCGCCAGAGCAGCCTTTTAGGGCCGGACTGTAGAAATGGTATGGGCCTTCGCCCGTTGGCTGAGGCTTAGGCTTAGGCTTAGGTCCTAGACTATAGCTTAGCATCTGCTGTACATTATAAAAACACTGGCATCGATTTCTTCTAATGCTAATTGCATGAAAATGTTCGTCTTTTTAAAGTGTCTGCTCTTCCATTATCATACTTCGCTTCGAAAAAATCACTAAACTACGGTATTTCGCGAATTAGAAAACCTCGTTTTCTTGGAATCGATGTACCGTGGAGTTGAGACCTGGGCCCGAGGCGGCTTTTGATTAGAATCCAACAATCGCCTCAATAGGTCGGTTATTCGGGCGAAGAAGAATAGCCGGATTATCTATCGTTTGAGAGGGGTAGTATGTTCACGACAAGTCCTAGGGAATCGGGGCTGCACTTCGGCATGGGTTCCGGAAAGTTCCTACTGACCGGGTAGGAGTTATTTCATTCTAGGTGTCACTTAGTGGCATGAAATGACAAGGGTAGTACCTGTGACCTAACAAGCCAGAAATTGCCCTCATATAACGCAAATTTTGTTCAAAACAAGGAGAGAAACGGTAAGATCGATTAGCAAATCTATTTATGCCTGATCAAAATCGGGTTACCGCGTCTTTTTTAGCTTAAAAAAATCCCTAAATCCACCTGAATCTATGAACGATCATATTTACAGGTCCCCAGAGGCTCGGATAAGGTAATAAAAACCCTAGGTTTTACAAAACATAAAGTTTAATCTAAAACCCACCATTCCGCGCCAGGCGTCGCCGGGCAGATCCGGGGTTTTCTTGAAAAATTCTCGCTAACCAAACGACGTAGAAACGGCCGGCAACAAATATCGGAATCGGCAAGAAGGGATAGATCCTAAAGGGCCACAAAAAAACGGCTAAGGACCCTAGGGATAAAGGGGCGGAGCTTATGCAACGGGTAGGCGATGGAGGGAGGAGGTCGACCCTTGACCCTCGTTTCGGGGGTACTGTAGCCGGAGAGAGAGTGAGAGAGAGATGCCGCGCCTCTTTTTTCGGGGTCCACAAAAGACCCCTTTACGCATAAGTATTTGCATAGGAAATTAGCGCCTAGCACATAAAAGGAGGGTTCGAAGAAGGTATCCTACTATATATAAAAAAAAATAGTGTCTGTGTGTGTGTTTGTGTGTGTGTGTGCCACTTTGCATCCACTTCCGTCTGTCTGTCCGGAGGATATCTCGATAGTGGATGAAGTTTAAGGTATGTATGATACGTCATTAGGTGCGTAATGGCCTGGAGATGACTGCACGCATATCAGATTTAACAAAATCACCTATTTTCGACATTAAATTTAAGTTTTGTAAAGACCTCTTTGTTAGGAATAATTAGCGTAGACCGGAAGTGGGGATTCGCCTATATATAAAGGGGCTCAACAGGTAGTTTTTCATTTTTTGTCAACTGAATTCAGGAAAATTATGCAAAGTGAAGGATAAAACGGGGTCTGACGGGGCCAGGGTTGAAAAGTCGCGAAGCGGCTTTTCAACCCTGGTTCTTTTTGAAAAAAATCCTTCCACGAAAATTTTAAAAATTGCGTTTACTATTTTGTTTTAATTGAATTTTTATTGAATTTCATTTCTAACTATCCTGAACGCTCCATTATCCACCTGCGCGCGAAAAAATGACTAGCTTCGACCAGGAAAGCATATCCGACCTGAAAATCCCCAAGACAATGGCCAAGGCATCTAGCACCCGTATTACAAAAACCTGTAATATCATGGGTATTCAAACTGGATGATTAAAAAGATGGGCATTTTGGCCCTTCGGGAGTTTGGCCGTAATATGTTTCAAGTTTTTTAATTAATTTTGGCCGTCCGGATGTAGACACTAATTTTGGTTTTTAATTCTTTTCCAGTTGCTCATTCTAAAAAAAGCTGTATTGTTTTTTTGCTAGCTCTCTGTCCACCTTATTTTGCCACCTGTTTAAAAATCTATAAAACCTAGCAATGCTTTTGGCATCTCTTTGCCGCCTGATCCACATACCAACAAATCCTTCCTCCCTCCACACAGCTTACCGGCATATGCAAATATTGCCTTTTGGGAGCCGAGCAGATAATTACATTGGACTTTGGGCGGATCAGGTGGATTTGGATTGGGTCGGGGCGAGAAAATGGCCCCGGAAATCCGCTGACGTCACGGCAGTTGCTGGCAGCTTCCGGGTCCACCATCTTAGGGAAGCCGTACAATGGTATGGAATTGGTTAACAATTGGTAGATATGGAGAGGCTTAGGCTTCGGCTTCGGCTTAAGTCAGGCTTAGGGTTCGGTTTTAGGCTTAGCTTAAGCATAGGGTTGGGCTTAGGCTTCGCTTTGGCCGAAGCTTACGCAATCATAAGCAATCCTCCACGCCAATTTTAATTAAATTCTGGCTTGTGAACGCGATTTAATTAAATTTAGCAAAACTAACTTATACTAAGGCGATGTAAATTCATTTTCTATAAAATACGTGGCAATAAAAGCTCTATATGTCGGTTAAAAATAACAAGAAATTTAATAAAACAGAAACTTAAAACATTTGTTGCTTTTTCTAAGATGTATTGTCAGTGTCTAGGCCAGAATTTGCATAAACGATAAGCAAAATTGATGCATTTTCTTTGCCGTGAGATTCCCACCGCGATGACCTGAAGGTTAGTGAGCACAAAGATGGGCATCAGTTCCAAATATTGCCCATGGCCGACTATCCGAAATATCCTCAGGCGATTCCGGGTTGAATGGACCCTGCCAGCCATCCATCAGCAAGAACGGCAACCCAGGTCTTCGCATCGCCTGCGGGCACGCACGGCTAAATAGCGCTAATCTGACGAGGGCTTTTAAATGGACCGACAGTGGAGACAATGCAAAATGGCCGGAGGCAACTTTGGGGACGACTTGGAGGTCTGGCGTGCTGTTTTGGGATTGGAAAGGGTTGTCCAGGGTAGAAAAACTATAGGTAAACCAGCGCCCAAAACTTTGACTTTCCGAGAGCTTGGGTCCTTCGGACCCCTCCCTTCCTCCGACCACACCCGCGCGTGCAACTTGCAAGAATGAGGAAATTTGTATTTTTTGGAATTATGCAAAGTAGCCCTCGCTGGCGCCGGACACACACACACACACAGAGATACACCCCGAAATTATATAAGGTAGGATGGCATATTGGCCTTAAAGGGGCTCTTTCAGCAGCGCAGTTCTGTTCATAAATTGTGGAAAACGAAGCTGCTGAAAGTCCCCTTTGAAATTTTTTTTCTTTTCCTTTCGCCCAGAACGAAAAAATTCTGAGTTTATCCATAGCTTCCAAGCCTCCGAACTTTTCAAAGTCCAGGTTGCAGTTTTCTGTCAATTTTGCTGACATTGTTTTTCAACAAAACATGGTTGCGCTGTCCTGTAGCCTAGGGAAATACTTCGGCACTGCTTCCCCCCCACAAACAGCGAAAAGTTTTGTAGGCTACAATCTCCCAGCCATTGCGGCTTAGCCATCGTCTTCGGGCTGAAATAACAAACCTCGGGTCAATCCATCGACTTAAGGATACTGTAAGTCCCATCCTGTAAAGTCATCAAATCGCCGCGAGCACGTGGTGGATTTGACGAGTCGGTACGATAGATCTGCCCGGCCATGTGGTGCGGGATCTTTTTGTAATACTTTGTATAACGAAAAATTGAGGCGTCAGGGATCCTAGAAAATGAAAGATTCAGGGGTCGGAAATTTTTCAAAAATTTGAAATTGGCGATTCGGTTAATTTGATAAATAGTATGTTATATATTGTAAGATGGCGGGTTTGTGGATGGCTAGTAATAAAAATTTGAATTATGGCATTAAACTACCGTATACTAATAATTCATCTTTTGTGAAATGAAATAAAAAAAATCGGGATAAACCACTTGAAAAATTGATATAATAATTTTCCGATAAACGCTGGTTTCGAGATAATAACGTTATCCTGTTACCAATTTTGAAAATTTTAGTTGGACGATCATCTGGAGCACAAAAAAAATTAAAACTTTTCAGAACTCGCAAATTCCGTTGAGATACCTTTATCGGTTTCTAAATTTTATTGTGAGCACCTGCTCACTTGCCCCTCAATGCCAATTTGTAGATACGATCTTTCTGATGATGAGGAGGATGGTTATGGACATCCGTCCGTCCCTTCCTCCCCTCAAAAATTGTCTCCGCACCCAGGCGCTAATCCCCTGCCCTGCACCTGCACCACCAGGCGTGGAGCCCTGTCGGCGTTTCCTTTTTGGGCGTGCTCACGCACGGGACATCCGCCGAAAAATTTTGTAAAGGCTGGAAAAAAGGATTCGGGGATTTTTGGAGCCGCAGTAATCTACAAGATCGTTCCAAAATTGATAAAAAATTGGATAGTAGGACCTGAAGATTGCATTTTCCTTTCCAGCAAACGCTCAACTTTTACCGAACATATAAACACAGCTATTTTCCGCTCGGATTTTGACTTGCTGGTTCAAAAACCATCCAAGGATCAACTTCAAAGCATGGTGCACTAACGAATTCAGTTTTTTTTAATCTGATCGGATGTCGTAAAACGACGCAACTAAATTTCAAAATTCAAATTTCATACCCGTGTATTTTAAGCAAAACGGTTGGTCGACCATCAAAACACTGATCACTCGTAATCAGTCATATTTTGGAGCTCGTCCTTGCCAGACCGAAACCGTGTTTACCTGGCCTTTGCCCACGGGAAATGCAGGATCGATCAGCCAAAATCAGAAGCACACGCCGCTTATCAACTCCCTCACACAGCAAGCAACAAACCTAATCCCCCCAATTTCTCTAAATTCCCTAATTCATTACCGTTTTTGAGGCCAATTTTTATATCTTAATAAACTTGAATGGAATTGTCACTAGGTAAGTAATTTTGGGAAAATTAGAAGCTCTTTTTCTATTTTTTTTGCAGAGCTCGTATTCGGTCTCATGTTCATCGGCATCGCCGCCGTGCTTTTTGGCGTCAATAAACTGGGCGATCGTCAAGGGGTTTCACCCGGAATTGGAAAGGCAACCATTATTAAAAAATAAGCATGCCGTTTTCGACATAATATGAATAAATCGTGAAAATTACTAGTCCCGCGCAGAAAACGTCGAAGATTTTAATCAGTCAGCTCTTTAGATCCAGAAAAGGACGATCCGGGTCCCAAACCTGGGGTTTGACGCTGGTTTTTGACAGCCTTTTCTGATTCAATTGGTGATTCACGAGCGGGCGTCGAACGGCAGCGGATTTTGACGCTCTAAAATCCATTTTTCATCTTTATTTTCAAGTTTGAAATGCTAAAATTGTTGTTTATTTGCTTGGTGTTTGCCCTTATGGGTTTGGTTGCGGGTCAAGGAGGTATAAAACCCTTTAAAATTCCCAGTATGGACTATTTTGATAGATTGCCAAAATTGCGGTGATGTTGTCGAGCTGTTGGGCGGGGCCGGTTCGATCGATTTTGCAGACAATCGAATCATGTAAGCCTGCTCTTCCTAAATTCTTTACGAAATCAATCAATAGCACCAATTTTGGCTGCGCTTCATGGATGCTAACGTGCACTAATGAAAATGCTTTTGCCACAATTTTGGTATATTCCCAGCTTTAAAAAGTTGTAAAATATTTTTTAGATGAATGGAAAAATCCACAAAAGGCTTCGAAAGCCAAATTCAGTCTCTGTAGAGCTAAACTGCAACCAACATGGACGGTGGACCTCTAAAAACCAAATTATCAAATCGATTGGTTGCTTCAAAAATTGAAATAAATATTTTATACGACAAAGAACTCAGCATTTTATTTGCTTCACATTAATGTGCAGGCGCATCACTAGGGCGTAACCGATCACGCCTGAAAAACAGAAAAAAATTGTCGTGTTCTCGGAAATTTCGAGGCCAATTTCAATAGTTTTAAAGATTTTGTACCAATAATTTTAAATTACCCTAAAACCTTGTGTATAGGTCCTCCCCGTGTATAGTTCCCGGTGAAAATTTTCATGTGTACGGAGCGTCCGTAATTCCGTATGACCGTCATTAGGTGTGTTTCGTTTTTTCGGTTTCTTGCAAATAACGTCGCTCACGAATGGTATTTTTGCAATTTTGATGGAATATTTGTTCGTATTTCGACTATTTCCAACAATTTGAGTGGTTTAATGAAAGAAATTGCTGCATGAGGCCCTAAGAACCGGCTCTTTTGGCTTACATAGCTTTTGGGCCGAATTGTACCCTACGCACATTATTTGGTGTCATTTGTATTAGTACGGAACCAAATTGTACCGGACCTATACACGAGGTTTTAGGGTAGTTTAATATTTGAATATTTTTGGCTTAGAAAATGCGAATTAAATAAATATACGTTAAATATTACCTAAAGCCAACGTCCCTGATAACAATCCGGCCAATTGGTACACCGTAAAGATGCTGCTGACGTAGTAGAAAGTGGCACAAGCCGCCCCCTAAAGAATTTTTTACATAATTTAATGACACTACAAATAATTATTATTATAATAAAATCATAAAAAGTTATAAAATACCTGATAAAATTTCGAGATGCTGAACGAAATTGCAGGGTTTTCGGGCAGCACTTTGGCACACGCTACCATCCGGACGTTATTGAGGCAACCATCAACAATTCCATTCAAAACGCCCATTAGGATCGGGATGGCGATACTGTAATTATGTTAATCATTTTTAGATTTTTTGCTGTTTTACCGGTTTTAATACATGGTACGAGTAATATAATTTTTCTTACATACCTTGTGCCCAAAATTGGGAGCCCGTCTGTGGGCCTAATCGACGCGAGTGGCGGGCTAAATAGCACCAAAACCACAATATTTATCCCAAAGCTGGCGACGGTCATCCAGAGAACCGGCCATTGACCGAAATTCGCAAATTTTCGATTTCCATAGCTGATGATGAGGCCCACTAAATTCATTGTATTTTATACCCTCTCAAACCGCGAAATTTCAGCTCGCTTTTAATGCATTGTCTTACGCGCTTTAGGCAAAAGACATGTGTGGAGGCTTTTAAAGGGGCTTTGAACTGCCAAATCAAAGCCCTTTTGGGAGGCCTCTTTGATTTATGGCAAATTGCCAGCGGGCACTGCGGGACGAGAGACCTCACCCTTTCGATTTTTGCGCGAAGTTGTTTTTGCCCGGTTTGTTTGTGAAAACACTATAATTCGCGCATTCTGAGCCCATTTTTGAAATCCTCATTCAATTTTAAATAGTTTTGGTGTTTTAATCATCAAATTTGGCCCAGAAACAGCCGAGAACGTGATGTCGAGGTGACAACAGGCAATTTCAAATTTTGCGAGCTTCCCGGCCCCTGGGCGTACAGAGGCCTCCGACGTACAGGGCTCCGATTTTCGGGCCGTCACTCAATTTTTGTTTCGTAGCCCCTTTAAAGACGACAAGCGGTTAATACAGTGTTGTATAACTTACATAACACCTCCCCAAACGTCAACGATATGCAAATGTAGCCGATCAGATGTTTGTGCTCGGCAAATTCCGAAGTGAACGCCACGGTCGTTGGGTAGATCGTCAACCAAAACGCGATATACATCCCCCCAAAACAATGGAGTGGCACGAGGAGGAACATCTTTGACGTCATCATCGTGGAGAACATCAAGCCTCAAGGAAAAAATTATTAGAGGGACAAAATTAAATTGACATGAAGTTTCAAAAACCCACCTAATTGCTCCCGAAAGCTCTTTCGATTGGCCGGATTGAAGATGGAATTCGGAATATTACGCATTGGCAGAAAGGCAGCAATAACGAGGGCGATACAGGCCATCGCCATCGAGCCGTACGTCAGCAGGTCGATTTCGTTTTCGGAGTAGTGACGGTATCCCTTTGCTGACTAAAGTCTTCTCTTTGTCTCTCTCTCTATCTATCTCTCTCTCTAGCTCTCTCTTTCAATCTTTCTCGCTTTCTATGTCAATTTTATGGACTTACAGTAACGTTAAGCTGCAACTCCTGATCACTACTAAATTCGCTGGAAGCAATCATTAGCAGACCAGTCAGAAGAAAACTAAAAATTGCGTTAAATTCAAGCCTAAGAATGCTACGAAATTTGGGCCACCGTCCAAAAGACTGCCTGATTCCTTGAAAAGGTAGCATCGGTAGAATGTTTGGCCGAATAGGTGCCGGCGCCAACGTAGTATACTAAAGTATTGCAGTTTCAAACGGGTTGAATTGAAGTCAGCGCCATTATTTGAATCTATACGGATTTTTTTGGTAGCTGCAACTCACGTGGAAAAGCGAAGCCCGCCAATATCGCCGCCGGGAAATACACAAAATTGTGGATGTACAGAAAACTGCTCGTGTACGCCAGAAAACATAGCGACGCCACGATAAGTGTTTTTCGAATGCCGATCGTATGCAAAATCGCCGGTGCGAGAAGGTTGGATAGAGTGTAGACGATATATACGAGGCATTGTCTAAATTGAAGTTATTATGTTAGAGATGACGACAAATAGAGACACAAGAGAGAGAGAGAGAGAGAGAGAGAGAGAGAGAGAGAAAGAGAAAATCTAAGGTATCAGACGTACCCATAATATCCAGCAAAATCGATAATACAATCTGGACATCTTCCCTTAACGCTGTGCATCACCGACTCCACCGCGAATCCCATCAAATTATATCCAAAAAGAAGCACCATTTGCAGAATTCCAATTATTACAGAAGCCAATATTGTGAAGGTATCGTCTTTCATTTTCGATGTAGTATGTTTCAATCTCAGCGATTAGAACCCAAAGCGATCCTTGCCGGCCCAAATGTATCAATAACTTTCGGCTTTCGGCGGGCGGTGCATGGGCTGGTCGGCCAAAGCAATAGCTGATTTGCATAATCCGTGAGCGCTCGGTTCTCAGCTTATTTTTGGGTTCATCGAGTTTTTTTGGGTAGCAATCCTCGCAGGTAGAAGACCCGAACGTCGTTTGATAGCATACATTGGAGCGACTGCAGTTTTTTATCGAGTTAGCGAAAATATGAGTTTATTCCGGTTAAGGAGGGCAAATTCGTCGGCATTTTGAACCACGGGATATTACCAAAATTTTATACATTCTTTATTGGCGAACTCGTTCATCCGTAATTTCGGGGAGCCGAATTCTCTCACTCTTGTTCTCACTGATTCTCTCTCTCTCTCTCTCTCTCTCTCTCTCTCTCTCTCTCTCTCTCTCTGTCTCTCTCACTCTCTTGCTCTCTCTCGCTCTCTCTCTTTCTCCCTCTCCTGATATTTTTCGAGGATTTGCAGATTTTAAGTAGGTTTATTAGGTACATAGAATCCATAAAAGCAAATTATAATTATTTTTTTGCATTTTTTGAGGTGTTTCTACAGTCATTCCATATCTCCGGTCCACTCATCCGGGTTCAGCCCCACCACAATGTTCATGTGCTTGGGCGTGAAGTTGACGTTTAGGGTGGCTTTTCCGTCAGTGATCAGGGTCACCTGGAACATTGTTCAGTTTCGTCTAATTGATGACACAAGCAAGGGCTCCAAAACTCGCGCCACATATTTTCTTATCAATTCCCGTGGGGGGGTTATTGTTAACTAGTTAGGGTAGCAGAGGATGCGGGAAGGTGACCTTCAAATAGGTAATCCCATTATCATCTAGCGTTCCGGTTGATTAGCGCGCGGTTTCAAGTGGTTTTTTAGCTTCCGGGCAGTCTACTCTGCAGTATTTGTGGGGCGGAAACGGGTTCGGGGTATGGGATTTGCTTTCAAAAATTGATCAATACTGATTTTCGGCTTAGAAATTTTTTTCGTTAAGTTTCCGTATTTTTACTTTTGTTCTAGAAAATTATCTAGAAATAAAATTTGTTATCTAGAAAATTAGCTGATCCCATAACAATAATTACCAAAAATCAGAAACACGATTTTTGCTGTAGAGTTTTCTAATAAACTAGACTTTTCTAAAATTATTAGATTGGGTCTGGAAAAATTCTAATAAAGTTTTTTTTTTCCATTTTTTTGATCAACTTTATTTGTATCTTCTTAATTTTCTTTGTTAAGAAACTCACGGGTCCCCAAGGCGTCGGGAAAGTGCCGGTAGAAGCCTCCGTCTCTCCAATCTTCACCGTAGCCCCCCTTGCCATCAGAGGAGACGACTACCGGCTCGTTGGATCGGTTTTCGATCTAAAACTGGGATTTTTGGGTTCAGAAAAGCGGATTACGTGGATCGGGACACCGGCCTCCTCCACGTCGGTCGTCTGGTGGGCGCCGATTGGGGCGGCGGCGGCCACGGCGACGACTCCAAGCAGGCACAAAAGCATACCGTGCATTTTGGCTAAAGGGAGAGTTTGGGAGAGAAAGAGCGAGAGTGAGAGAGAGTGCGAGATATATAACCAAAAAAGAGCGAAAGTACGATGGAGTGAGAGACAAGGTAATGGAGCGAGAGAGGAGAGAGAGAGAGAGAACGAGAGAAAGAAAGAGAGACAGTGAAGGGTTTGCATATGAGAGACATAGTGATCGTTATAGAGAGATAACTGGAAGTATAAAGCCTCAAAATTGAATTATTGTGTGCTCAAAATTCCAACTTTCAAACCTTGTAAACTTCACAATTTTCGATTTCATCTGGCCAGTTAAAATCAATCGCAACCCCAATACCGTAACCCAGCAAAATAGCCGTTCATCAAGAACCGAACACCGCGATGTCAAACAAGCCAATGCTAACCCCTTGTCAGCGCGCCGGGATTTATTGGGTGTGGTGCTGCTCGCCTTATCCAGTTCGGTCCCGCCCCAAGCCGTTCGTTCCTTTTCTCGTCTTTCCCAAAGACCATCTCCTGAAATTCCGGCCCAAAACCGCTGCTGGCGAACGGTCAAACCGGCACCCACGGGCACCGACCGGACGCCGTTCGCCCCCGCTCTAATTCGTTGACCTTTTTCCGGCTTCTTCGGCCCATCCGGCTGTTTGCGGCATTCCGCGCGGGTTGATTTGATAGGCCCACATGAGAGGGCGGTGTAGTCAGTGGTTTGAAATCGCGAAAAAACTCGGTCAACCGATGGGAACATGGGTGAATGTTGCCCTGGCACCGGCGACGGTCAGACTCGCACGACGGTTCCCGAGGAACGGCCCGCGAATTGGCGCCGACCCGGCGGGAATGCAGGGGCGTTTTGTCTGTATGTCGTGGTGCTCCAACTTTCGTTGCAGGGGCCCGTGCCAATTGAGGAAGTGAGGTAAGGAATTCCAGTCAGAATCCCGACAGTTTGAGACCCCGATAGGCGAAGATATCGACAGCCGAAATCAGCCATCATCGATAATCCCGACATCGACAATCCCGACAGCCGAAATCCCGCCAGCGAAAGCCCAAAAATCAAGATCCCGTTTTGTTCTGTCGGGATTTAGACGTTTTCCCTTGGGAAATGGTCTGATGTTTTTCGCGAGGTATATCCGCCTTGGTGAAACTCCATTCCAGCCTCTCAAGGTATCACGACATCTATTAATGCAGCAAGAAGGGGAGCAGACAGCGATGGATAGACTCTTTATGGTGAATTGGATTTTTCAGAACATTTTTTTTATATCTTTTCAACTTAATACTTGCCTCCAAAGGTCCCTGAAATTAGAAAAATTGGAAGCCTAGACGGTTATAAGTACTTCTTCGTTCAGAACTGCAAAAGATAAACTTCAAAACCCAAAAAATGTGCTCCGTCCTATCATTGTGTCACCACTCTCAGTCTGACAACGTCTTTTGGCTCTGACGTTACTCTTCATTGCACCGGGCGGGAGTCGAACCCGGGTCACGGGGGCGGGGCCGAGCGCGCGCTAACCACTAGGCCACAAGGTGTCAGTGGGCACGGGTTAGGGCAGAGGGGAAAGAGGTATAGGAGCGCGAGCGGGCTGGGTTTTGGCAATTTTTCATGGTCTAAAATGTCAATAAAATTGCTTAGGAAATTAAATAAAGCATTAAAAAAATCTAGGATAATTGCAGGGCAAACGGCTTGAATTTCCTCAATTTTAAAACCACAAGGAGCGCCTTTTACAATATTTTAACTCCGAAAATTTGGCAAACAATTTTATTGAGCGTACTCTAAGTATGGGTTATTAACATTTGAAGCCGTTTTAAAACTTTCTTGTATCATTGGTATTTTCCGTCGCCCTCAGCGTCCCTTTGCTCGTATTTCGCAACCCCGAGCTGGCCTCCTTTGACTTTGGCAAATATTTGACGGCTTTCAGCTTGGACCTAAAATTGAGAAGTTCATTGTACCTACAGTCCTTTCGCTTAAGTGAATTCGACGTACCCAGCGATTCTTACAAGGGAACCTCAAGTTGGCACGGCGGAGTTTCGAAAAACGCTCGCGGCTACCCCTAGGTTTTCGACTATGGCGATTCCAACGGTCTAGTCAGAATTTCCTAAATGGGCCTCTGGACAGAGATACAGCACTTCCGGAAAATGATGATTTACATCCGAAAAATTAGCATTAGCGATAGGTTTATGAGGCTCTCCCATCACTATGGAATCACCATTGGAATGGCCGAGTGGTCAGCGAATCACTTGATAGGATACTGACGAGGGTTCGAATCCGCTCACGATTTTTTTTATTTTGCTTTTTGACCAGAACTTTCTGCCCAACGCCAACTTTTGGTTACTTCTTCGAAAAAAATGCAAAAAATCTCATCCAAGTAAATTATAGAGGCCCCTCTGTCAAAAAAACGGAATATGGGTATCCCCCTTTTTGAATTTCGAGAACGAGTTTTCAGGATTCTTGGGAGTAATCAGTCTGGGGCCATAACAATCATTTTTCCTAGAATAAAAATAAAAACTTGGAGTTGGGCAGAAAGTTCCGGTCAAAAAGCAAAATAAAAAAATCGTGAGCGGATTCGAACCCTCGTCAGCATTCTATCAAGTGAGTCGCTTACCAATCGGCCATCCAACTGGTGATTCCATAGTGATGGGAGAGCCTCATAAACCTATCGCTAATGCTAATTTTTCGGATGTAAATCATCATTTTCCGGAAGTGCTGTATCTCTGTCCAGAGGCCCATTTAGGAAATTCTGACTAGAGGGTTGGAATCGCCATAGTCGAAAACCTGGGGTAGCCGCGAGCGTTTTTCGAAACTCCGCCGTGCCAACTTGGGGTTCCCTTGTTAGAAGCGCCATGCGATAGTCGCGGATGAAATAAATGACCGTGCACGGGTCGACGGCCGGGAAAATCGACACGACGACGATGCCTAAAAAGCGGAAATTTTCTGGAATTCTGGGAAAACTGTGATTTGGTTCCCACATCAAATTAGGCCACGCGACGGTTCATTCCTAAATCAGACCACAAAGATTTCCTTGGGGTTTGATTTCTGGAAAATTGGTTCTCACGCTGAAATTTGGAAAATCTGAAAATTCGTAGCCGAGAACACGGTAAGCTATAGAAAACTAATGGCTAACGAGGTTCCGACGAGATGATGCAAAGGTCGAGATCCGCATTTCACTAACTTAACGCTTTACAGCAACTTGAGGTACACTTACAGTACTCAAACATCACGCCAGGGGCTCCGATTCCAAGAAAAGCCACCAGATGAGTGTAGCCGCACGGGAAAAATTCGCACAGTATCGGCACCGAAGCCTACGCCATAATTTTTCTGCTAAATTTTGTGACAAAACCTGCACAAGAAGTGCTTTGAATAATTCACGTTGCATCCGCTGCGTCTTGGCACTATATTTCATCAAATGCTGGTTTTTCAGGGCAAGCCAGATCCTGGAAAACCATGATTTAATAGCTCCCCAAACCATTGTGACACGTTGATTGCTAGTTAGCTTACTGAATCGTGCAAAAAGCCATAATTCCCAGCATTCCATAGAGCAAAATCATGGAGAAGCCCGCGGATATGACTTCAGGGATGTAGAAAACTTCGACCCCGAGCGAGTTGTTACGCTGAAAATGTTACAAAATGGACCTTGATTTCTCGATTTGAAAAAAAACCGTCAGTTTCCCTTTTCAATACATATTCTAATTAGGAAAACAAGCAAGAACCATAGCTCAAAAAGACTTACTACTAAAAGATGACCAAGCATCGGCAAGTTATCGACGGAAAGCTGTGACGTCTCCCAGACTATTTCCCGGAAGTACTCCCTAAAAAGCGACCAGTCTTTTTTTTAGATGAAAAATAATGTTTTTTTTTTGAATTAAAATAATAAAAGAGTATTATTTTACGACTTGGAAACCGAAAAGTACACCTACTTGTTAGCTTCGATATTAAACGTCGAGACATACGGCAAAATCCCCCAACAAAACGCGTGAAATATGGCGAAACTAAAAAAAGTAACTAAAAAATGCTGGCCACTTACATTACAGTAACCACCAAATATCGGGATTTCCGGAAGAAGATGAGCAAGTTTGGCCTAAAAATGTAACTCCAGTTCATTACTTCAGATACCTTAACGCCGCAAAATAACGATAAGCGAATTGGTACATCAGGACGACGAGGAGCATCTAAAATTACCAACATTGCTGGCTACGTAAATTACGCTGTTTTACCCCATAATTAAAATGCCACCCGCAATACGAGAGCAGCCCCAGAAATTTGTTCTTGCTCAACTTGCCCTCAGGGTAAAATAGATATGAATTTTTGTAGATGATATAGTGCTAAAATACCCTTTAATTCTGATTGTTCTAATCGTTACCGGCACCACCAGAATTTGCATAGCCGAGAAAATCGTATTACAAGTGGAGAACGAGATCATCAGATAGCGATAGGAGCCTGGAATTTGAAGAATCGTTGATTGCTATGAAAATTTAATATATCTTACCAATTTCGGGACGTGAATACTTTATAATTAAATATATAAGCAGTGGATTTGTGATGAAGGCGATCGCGCCCCAGATGTAAATCACGCACTCGCTGAAGAAGCTCATCTTGTTTCCGGCTCTGAAAACTATAATCAATTATCAATTTACGGTTTGAGTAGCAAGTGTAGTAGTAACGTATAACATGATAGCGAAAAAAAAGATTTTTGAGAAAGAACGAGAATTGATAAATTTAATTTTCCGGTATGCAGATGGACGATTAGAAAAAATGGGGGACGATCATTACTTCTTAAGTCTTTACTCCAGAAATCATTACGTCTTAAACCATACTGCTAAAAATCATCACTTCTAAAAATGTTACTTCTAAAATTGGTGCGTCGGATTAGCAGTTTTTTGGAACATTTGGCCGTATTTATGCCCAAATCGACGCTTAGAATTTTAGAAGTAATCGCTTTTAGAAAGAATGATTTTGGAAGTAATATTGAAAGTAATGACCTTTAGCAGTAATGATTCTAGGAGTAATGGTGGGTAACCGCAAAGCAGGTAGACGTTAAGTGCTGGTTTCGTGCAGCTTTGTAGGGCATAGCGCCCGGAAACACCAAGAGATCCAGTGTACTAGCCCCAAATTATAGGCACCAAGCAAAATGTCACTAAAAACACGCGGTCAGCCCGAATGTCTGGCATTTTGGATAGGTATAAAATTAAAGCTATACCTATTATAGGCTAGAACTTATTCTCCCAGTCTTAAACGTTTTGAATTCAAGTTGAATAACGCTCCTAAGATTCACAAATCAACAGCTCAAATGCTGGCCTCAAGCAGAGTCGCAGCTCTTTTTATTCCAAATATTCCAAATATTCGCTCTATGCCAAATGAATCTGGGATAATTTTTGCAAAAATAACAACTACCCCCGGTGGCTCTCACCGTAATCAAGGGTGTTTATGGTAGTCTGGCTCAATGTAGTTTCGATGAAATGCGTCTTCGCGACAGACCGATGCTTGCTGGACCAAAATTTACCACTAAAGTATTTCAAGGTATCAAGAGTACTTTCCGGTGAGTCAAAAATTTCTAAAAAAATAAGGCGGGTCTCAGGTAATTCGTATTCACGACCTTTACGCATGAACGGTCCGATTATTCAATTAAACGATGTGCCAAGCGTCTAGGAAATTCGAAAATACTGCTGAAATTTCAGGAAAACTCATATCAGAATCAGACGCGTAAAGGCGTAAAAATGAACAATCGGAATCCACAGTACCCCGTTCATTTCGTGTCCCGCGAAGTGAAAGCGAAAACAAACGTTGCCGCATCCAAAATCATTGAATCACTGATGTAATGTCATAATTAGGTTAAAACCAGGTGCCCCGCACGGAACAGCATCCCGCAGAAGACCCTAGGGCATATTTTTCGCTCGCCAGGTTCATAGATCCATAGATTTGGCACATCGTCCAAACGCGGGGTACGCCCAGAATTCATTTCCTGAATGAATTCGTGGCGCTATGGTACCGGAATTTTGGGAACTAAAGGTGCAAGGACATTTATCAATGGAGGATCCTTTGTCCTCGACGACATAAGGGCATGACGAGTACGGTAAGAAGTCGAGTCGAATGTCTCGAGTACGGTAGTATGAACATAAACGAGCCTTTGCGAGTAAGAAAACAATCAGACGTCTTAAAGTTTGATATTCAGTACCCGATTAAAATGACCAGGAAGCGTCAGAAACGGCGAATAAGTCCCGGCAAGTAAAAGGGTCACCAAAGAAAATAACAGAAATTACATACCACAATCGGAGTAGCTGACGTGAAAATTAATATGGGCCTCGTGCTGCTCCACTGTACCGTTCTCTTGGTTTGGCGCGTAGCTGTCGAGACATGGATCGATTATCTAGCTTTCTAGACGCTTTCTTAGATTGTTATGCCGGCGCATCGTAGTTTTATTCTTACCGCCTTTGATGTCGGCATGATTTCTAACGCCAGGTTGTTTCAAACTTTGACCCGTTAATTTCTGACCACCACGACTTTCGTTCTCATACCACCGTTTTTTCGCATCCATGATCTCCCAGCCCTACCACGTGGTATACCGACCATCTCGATCAGCTACGAACATCAATCATTTGCCCCGAGGCAAGAAGTCACAAGAAGATAGCGAGAGAGAGAGAGAGAGAGAGAGAGAGAGAGAGAGTGAGAGAGAGCGAAAGAGAGCAATAGTGTGAGAGGGAGACCGATTCCCCAGGAAGAATTCGTATATTACAGCCTCTCTCTGGCCGAAAGAGTCACACCTCTTGCCATCGCTCTGATCCCTTCCTCAAACCCATCTAGCCGCTCCCCGTCATTTACTCACCTCACCTCTTTTTGAGCTTCAACTATAGTTGGGGGCTTGACACAGTGGCCGTTCACTACTTTCGTGAGTGAGTGATACCCACCGGCCGCTCAAATATTGGCCTGCCCGCCATTCGCTTCCCCTGGTGACCTCGGAATTGGCTGCTTTTTAAAGAACGGTCATATTATGAAACGATCTTTGTCAATTGGTGGGTTAAAAATTGGCTTAAAAAGCGAACCTTTATTTTTAGCGTCTATTCTTGCCCTATTCAGCATTTCCTCAGCTGCACTTTGGAATTTGGAAAAGGTAGGCAAAAGCTGGGGAGAGATAGCGGGAGAGAGAGCGAGTGAGAAAGAGCGAGGGAGAGAGATAGAGAGAGAGAGAGAGAGAGAGAGAGAGAGATGAGAGACAAAAAACTTCAGATCTGTGAATGTGAACTTGGCTATAACGCATTGACTTATAACAACTACGGGTGTTGGTGTGGTATGGGTGGAGCCGGGGATACGATAGATGGTGTTGATAGGTAGGTTTCGTATACTCGAATTACCGTTTTGTAGATGCTGCATGATGCATGATCAATGCTACGATCGGGCCGTCGACAAAAAAGTGAGTCATCAACACGTCAAGCGCCTGCAAATGCATCCAATTTTCATACCTATGATTTTTGTTTGCGCAAATTTCCGTTCAGGGTGCATCATTGAAGAACTAGACAGAGCCTGAAAGATAAAAATATATTTTTTACAGATATGCTCCGATACCCCGTTCGAATACGTCGACGACTTCAGCTGGACATGCACAAATAAAACTGCGGCTTGCGGAGGTCAGGTTTTGCCATGAGCATCAGTTTTTTTGAACATGTAGATTCCCGAAAGCTATCACATTAAAGATGTATCAGCAAGTTTTTTAGTAGTATTTTTCAGCTTCAAGAAACCCATGTGCGGCGGCTCTCTGCGCCTGCGATAAGCAGGTTGTGGATTGTTGGAAGCAATACGCAAGGCCAGCGACGAAGCCGAAGTACGTTGTGGGAGAGAGAGCGAGAGAGAGAGCGAGAGAGAGAGAGCGAGAGAAGGGGGACAAGAACAAAGAGCATTTGCACCTCTCCAAATTTTATCACATTTTTCCAGATGCAACGGCGTGCGGCGGCTCCTCCAAATCCTCGAATCCTCCCTTGAACATTTTCAACACTAGGAAATAAATCATTTCTGCGTGTACTTCCGTTTTCCGTTCAGACACTTGTCGGCGGTAACCTGATTAGTCTCGGGTCCAGTGGCCCTGGCTCGAAATAATGGAATAACGAGGTGGCGGTGGGGTGGTGAAAGTTATCCTGGCGCCTGGCCGCTAATTCCGGGGACTTCCTGAGTCTCTGGACCCGAATTTGGTATTTTTCTGCACTGATGACACTGCCCATTAGCCAATGGGTAATGCTAGCTTATTCATATCCATCTATGCTTTTATATATTTTCTTAATGATACGAATAATTGCTGCCAGAAAGTATATAAAAATGTTTGCGTCGCCATATTTTAATTTGGTGCTGGCGCAGGTAGTTCAAAAAATTAGGACAGTCAAAAAAAGTTATATACTTTTAGTTCATTAACGATTTCATATACTTCGTCTTTGTTCAATTTGGGATGAGATTTCCAAGATATTACATTGTTGATGTCAATACAGACGATTATGCAACGTAAGGTTTGAAAATAGAGCCAAAGATTGGCCTTGGAGTTTTGTAGATTAGGTTTATGAAGAGTATACCCAGAAAATTTGAATTAAAGTGTGTTTACGATAATAACACAACTTTTTAGTGCATTCTATTTCATGTTGCTGACTTTTCGAGCCGTTCTATACCTTGGCCATATCCCATTTGCATTAAACCGACTGGTACTATATCTTAGGCCTGCGATGTATAAAAATGTAAATAGTAGCCGTAATTTTGATGACGAGTCTACTCTTAAAGATCTGGACATCAAAGGTCGTAGCCCTATTCTTCGCCCTGCAATGGATGATCCCGTTGGCGATAAATATCCCGTTTTTCACGGCCGGCCCCGGGTCTGCCACCTGGCAAAATGGGAGCGTCAGAATGATGGTGGCCACGCCCGATACGGTACAGGTAATAAGCTAGCGTATACCGTAATGACGTATTTCCATCACCGTGCGGAGCGCTAGCTGTTTTTCTAGCAAAAACGCGATATCCGAGCCGCGTTTTTATCAAAGACGTGATATCCGGATCCGGATGACAGGAATACAAACTACCAGCGCGAACGCAAAGACCGGAAATTAACGTTTCCGTGTTCTCGGCTCGCATCTGTAGTTTGTAGTGTCTGCATCATCGCTTTCCCCCTTTTACAGCACGACTTTTAGAAGATCTAGTTTTGTAAAACTGATTTAAAACGATCAGAGCTATGCTGATATTATAAAGGCCAAAAAAGTTGTTAAATCAGGTATCGTAGAGTTTATAACAAGCGCTACTAAATAACCACTGAGAATTGGGGCTTTTACACTTGATATCGTATACCAGCGGCTGCAATAGGTCGTTGTAATAAAACTTACGTATTCCGCAACGTAACGTAACGTGTTCCGAAAAATCCGCTGGCCAGATACGGTAATTGTAGACTTGTTTAGATGAACACCATCCAAGCACTAACCATCATCCCACTGTCTTCCGTAGTATGTGCAATTTGTTTTATCATATGCTTTTCCATCGGACTGAAGGTATCATATTTTAATACGCCAGTCACACCTAATTTGAAGCACAAATCCGTGTCCAAACTTGAGCGAAAGCTCTTGATTTGCACGGTAATACACTCGATTCCAATGTACCTTGAATTGGCGCGCAGCATCACTCAGGTTTGTTCAAACCTTATGACCATCAAATCCTATTTTTTGCAGTTTATCGTCGTCACGCTGCTTAAAATCCCGGGTGCCTATGTTCATACGGCAGAAGCAAAGTCAAAAGCTCCATTTTTCGAATTTTTTTGGTTTTAGTTACTACTACATCGATTTCAACTGCACCATCGAAGTGTGGTGTCTCATGGCCACAAACGCAAATGTTAGGCGGCTACTGTATTCCCCGGAAGCTCCAGAGAGGGAGTCGGTCAGCCAGAATTTTCAGAAATTTATACAAATTTTCAGGGAGGAGTAACGATGGTCACCAAGGTATCGCCGTCGGTGCTGTTGAAGCGAGCTACAATTGCCTGAATTTGCCTTATTGTTAGGATTGATGAAATATATTTAAATGAATAGGATTTGTGGAAGTTTATTGCCTGCTGAATCGGGCTTTATCTTACGCTTTGGCTATTCAAGAGACCGGCATAGAGAGAGAGAGAAAGAGTGTGAGAGAGGTAGAAAGAGAGGGAGAGAGAGAAAGGCAGAAAAAGAGAGAGGAGGAGGAGATAGGGAGTGAAAGAGAGGGAGAGAGAGAGAGAGAGAGAGAGAGAGAGAGAGAGAGAGAGAGCGGCACAAAACACAACGAACATGATGGCTACGTGTCAAAGGCAGTGAAACGTACCTTGAAAACCGCACGTGCAATAGATTAACCAAAACGAGGTCCCTTGAGGCTACGCAACTTCATATGTACGCTTATCTACTGTACCCGTGGCTAGCCAGACATATTTGGCAAGATTTGTTGATTGTATCCAAAGACTTCTGACCAGACAATACGACCCAGCTCACTTTGTATGTATTTCCCTAGTTTTTAGACGCTAGTTTCTAGTTAGTTAACTAGAAGTTTGTTTAAATTCCCTGTTTTCCAATTTGCAAAAAGCGAAGACTGCGAAATCTCTCCACGCCCAACATCGTTTTCATAACTAGATACCGCTTTGCTCTCCATTTGCGCCGGCTGAATCCATTTTTCTCGGGGTTGAATTGGCAATCACAAGAGCAATTGGTCTCGCAACCCTTGTAGCCATTGGTTCCGCATTCTGCCAGGCTGAGGTTCATTTGGGGTTTCTCAAAAATTACTATGAACGTGATATCGTAATATATCGTTTCAAAAAATTCTATGAATGTAATGAAGTTGATAGCAAAACAGAAACGTCTCTCTTTCTCTGCGCCTTTCTCTCTCTCTCTTAATCTCTTTTGCTCTTTCTCCCTTTTTCTCTCTCCGATCTCCCTCTACTATCTCCTATCTCTCTCTCACAGTCTCTGGCTTCCGAACCCTATTTAGTATGGCACAAGGATGGACCCTACCGATTAGCCAATGGATCATGATTTCCTACGCTTTCCCATCAATGCTGCTCTACACGGTTCTGATGCTTCGCATCCTCTGCGTTCGAAGCAAAGTCAAAATGTTCGCATCGCCGTTTTTCGATTTGGTATTGGCACAGGTAGGTAGTCGAAAAACTGCGCACTACTGACGTATACAGGTAAAAACATCATTTTAGTTTGTCAACGACTTCATATATTTTATTTTTATTCAATTCGGAATGCGCTTTCCGAGATATTACGTGGTTCCGTTTGATACAGAGCTGGCTGGAACGTAAGTTTTGGTTTTCACTTAGAAATACTGGGCAAACTACAGAATCGGCTACTTTGGCTTACTTACCTTTCGAGCGGTTCTTTATCTTGGACATATCCCATTTGCTGTCAATCGTTTGGTTATGTATTTGAGGCCTACGATATATCATCACGTAAGTAAAGGCCGACAACTGCTGCAAGAAAGAATGAAATGAGAGAGAGAGAGAGAGAGAGAGAGAGAGAGAGAGAGAGAGAGAGAGAGAGCGTGAGTGATCGCGTTCGTCTGGACGATAAACCGAATCGTTTAAGGTCTGGACCACCAAGACGGTATTACTATGTTTCATTATTTGCTGGTTGATACCCTTGGCTATCAATGTCCCATTTTTCACCCTCGGTCCAGGACATGGTATCATGGTTGACAGCGGTCCAGTTCGCATGATGAAAGGGAATGATGCAAGCGTCCAGGTCGCAATAACCTAGTCGATACTCAACTTGCCTTTGTTAGATGAACAGTATCCAGGCGCTTACCATAATCCCATTTTCATCTATCGTTTGTTGCATATGTTTTGCGATATGTTTGTCGATGGGAGTGCAGGTGTTTTCGAATATATTGTTTTGGTTATCGCGCGAAAAACGCATTAAAGACTTATAAAACTCTGGAGCGCACACTGTCACCCCGAGGGTGCGGCCCCCAGGAACGCACGGAGAGAGACGTCATTAGTAATGCCCCGTATTGGGCAAAGGACCTCTGACGTTTGGGGCGCCTCTGACTCCCTTCCCCACTCGGCCCTTTGGTATAGTGGCTAGCGCGTCGGACTGTGGAGCGAACCATCGTGGGTTCGACCCCCGACCGGTGCGCAACTTTCTTGCTCTCAACGGAATTTCATCGTTCTGACGGTCTTTAATGATAGAAAAATCTGACGAACCGAGATGCCAGATGAAGTAGAAAGTATTTTGGGTATCATACTTCGTTTACTCTATAATACATTTTACAAGTCAAAAATTCAGCACAAATCCGTGTCCCAAATGGAACGACGTCTATTACTCTGCACAGTTGCTCAATCCATTCCTATGTATCTGGAATTACTTCGGAGCACTACTCAATTTGTTCTGGTCACTCTATTAAAGTTTCAGGACGCTTATACTTACACAGCGGAATCTCTGTAGGTTGATACTCATTCCCTTTACCCGGTGATACCTTCGAAACGCTGAAAATGTTCAGGTACTATTACATGGACTTTACGTGCACGATCCAAGTCTGGTGCCTGCTTGCCACGAATGCTAACATTCGGCGTTTGCTATTTTTTGGCGGCCAGCAGAAATCAGAACGGGTACGGGTTTAGGATAATTTGATTGAGTATTATCACCAGTCTCATGATTTTTGGTATTCTTTATTTAGACGCTCTCCGTCGTTGCCACGAATACGGCAAGGGTCAGTGTCATGCACTCGGTGATAAGGTCTACCGATTAATGATTAACGAAATTCGCCCAATTTTTGTGAAATAAACAACATGAAAAACCGATATGTCCATAACCAAAAGCAAAGAGAGAAGGAGCGCGTGAAAGAGAAGGAGCACGAAATAGACAGAAAGATAGAGAGAGTGATAGAGAGAGTGATAGAGAGAGAGTGAGTGAAAGAGGGGGAAAGAGGGCCAGAGAGAGGGCGAGAGAGAGAGAGAGAGAGAGAGAGAGAGAGAGAGAGAGAGATGGATGTCCGACGCCCAAACCCTAGGTACACTCTTCCCATCACAGTTTACATTTTAGCCCCGCCGACAAGATCAACGCGATTCGTCAGTCGCCTGACCCCAAAGAGCGCCGACAATCAAATGATTTTGGGTAGAAAATAAAATTTATGGATCACTGAAGACCAGACCATAGCTGCCAAGAAAATCATTGTACACTCCAATGTCTACAACCACCGAAATTCCGCCCGAATACTCCTGGACGGCGCCATGGATCCAGTATGTGATCATCTCGCGTTTATCTCCATGGGGCTGTATATTTTTATAAATACTGGGATAATGCATCGTCGTACGCAGATCAAGGCGCTGAAGTCGGCGTTCTTGAGGGTACGGTATTTTCTCGAAACTCCAATTTACGTCGCATTACAATCGTCTCATTCTTGCTTTTGAAATCCATTAGAGGGGCAGGCAAGGCATGAATTGCGTTTGATTTGATGTGGGTTGCTTATACCTTTGCCACGCCCGTTCTTACGGTGCGTAATGGATCACTATTAGCTGAATCGAGCAGGTGGCGGGGGCCGTGCCTGTAGCGACAACGGCTAAATTAACGGATTTTCCATATCTATATTCATACCTTTACATAACCTTAAAGGCACTGGGATATGTGAAAAACGACCCCCGTTAGGCTCCAGATATCGACAACTGCCCTAAAACACCTCGATATGCTGCGTCTACAATATGTATTTCCAGTTTTTCGATGATCTCATCTACTTTCTCCATTTCGAGTTCGTAATGAGATTCCCGAAATACTACATGTTTCCATGGGACACGGCGAGCAGGTAAAAGATCTTCAGTAAAAAAAATAGTTTTTTAAGCGCCAGCTACTGTGGCTTCTTAATTCTTCGAAGCGTCGCCAATCTGGGCCTAATTCCATTTGCTTGGAATAGATTGGTCTTGTACGCGAAACCGTATGTCTTTCAAGCTCGTAGCTAGTCACGTATGTCTTTCAAGCTCGTTAAGACCTGGAGCTTTAGATTTGGACTGGGAAGATCGCTTTTCTTCGTTTCTTCATTGTTTGGGCTCTACCGCATGCGATAAATCTACCCTTCTTTACGGCGGGTCGAGGAGATGCTGGTCCTGATCCGATTGGGGAGTTCCGGACGATGAAGGGTAACGATGCGGCCGTAGCGGTGAGTTATATTTAATGTTCATAACTGCCCATTTTGCGGAAAAACGCCGTGTGCAACGCTCTCGTTTGACTTATTGTTTCTGCTTTTCACCAAACCGTTTCATTAAGACTACAGCGCAGTCTCAAGTCAAAATGCCACTTGTGGTCCATAATTTGGCGGCGTCTGCGGAAATTTTTGGGTGCTCTTTCTTCCTAAACGTCCAGTTCATCGGAACAGAAGCTGAAATGGCTGCCAAAGGCCGACAAACGAAATATAGTTGGTGTCTGAAAGATAAATGACCTAATTCTAGGACATAAGGCCATTTTTGTATAGCCTATTTTTTCAGATGAACACGATTCAGGCGATCACCACAACCGCCCTGGCTTCAAAAATTTGCACAATTTCTTTTATCTTCTGTTTCGCCATCGAGTGTCCGGTATTTTGGGGGGCTAGGGCAAAGACAACGGATTAATTCAGATAGTCTCAAAGCTGGAACGAAAGCTTCTTGTAGCTGTCGTTATCCAATCGATCCCAATCTATTTAGAACTTGTTCGGAGTGTTGTTCAGGTCAATAAAATTTGACGTTCAAATTCATGGAATTTTCAGTTGATTCTCGTCACAATTCTTGATATTCCCGGCGCATATTTTATCACCGGGGAAGTGATGTATGTTAAAATCAATGAGTTAACCTTAACACTTTCTTAGTCAGTAGCTAAAGAAGACGATACTTTTAGTTTCTACTAACTCGACTTTACTTACACGATCCAGCCCTGGTGCCTTCTGGCGCGACGAATCCGAATGTTCAGGCGATTGCCGGGCTTGGAGGGAAGAGGAGTCCAGTTCGGGTAACTTTCTCTCTCTCTCTCTCTCTCTCTCTCTCTCTCTCTCTCTGTCTCTCGCTCTCTGCCTCTCCTTCGCCTCTTAAAAAAGTACTATCAAATAAATTTAAGCACATATCGATGATGATCGTCTCCCCAAGACCGTCGCCTCCCCAATCGATGGTTCAACCCGAGTCCGCTACGCTGCAAAACCTACAGACAAAGATTTAGAAGATACCGAAACAGCGCTACTGCCTTTACTTATAGTTCCTCGCCTTATCGATAAATCGATTTACTGAAAACTTCTCTGAAAAAGCATTTTTTCGACAATCCGGAAGGCTAAAAAACATTTTTAGCGATCCGTGAAGACGCAAAATTTCTGGAAAACTTGCGCTTTTCCATTTAATAGAGTTTCTAAACGCTTCGATTCCTCGTTGCAAAGTCACGTGCCCCAACAAGGGCAATAAATTCAGGGCCTTTTTGCTTCCGGATTCAGACCGTGAAAAGTTTCAAAGGAAACTAACTCCTTTCTAGAAACGTACACTTTCTGCTCTTTTTTGAGATTTTCGATACTTTGGCCCCTAGTTTTTGTACCTCGCACCACATAGTTCCGCATCATTTGCTACCCCTGGGGTGGGGAATCTTGAAGGCAAAGCACGAGGAGCATGTTCCCAGAATGTTCCGACCAAATTCCGGCTACGATACCTGGGGCCAGACTGTTGTCACGTTTCTCATTCCCCCAGGGCCATTGTGCTTGACTGTGGCCATGGACGCAACGTACCCCATTGGGAGAGGGTCGTCGGTCAAAATATGTTTGCTCCGGGCGGGCATTTCCGTTTCTTGGTCTGGGCCGTGGAGTGTTTTATTTCTGGGTAATAATGGCAAAAATAGGTTCCGGGGGTGTCTGCTGGGCTCGTTTTGTCTTTGTTTAAAACGGGCTAAAATCTTGCATCGCCAGCTCTTTGTAATAAAATTGTCTGACCCCCAGATATCGTGTTTTTCATTACTCTATGACTGGAAATTATAAGAATTTAAGCGTATCTATTTATTTGTTCATATTAAAGGTTAAACCTCTTGGAAATAATACGGCTAGGGTAAAAATTAACTGGCCAGACCTTTCTTTAGTTTTTTCTCCTTTTATAGATCATATTTTCGTCGTCTCTTGTTCTTATTCCATTGAGGAAGTCGATGTTGGTCTTAATGCTCTTTGGATGCTAGCGGACCCGCTGTACGCGCACGCTCAGATAGCTAACGATCTATCTAACCAGTTACGCAATGAAGGGTTCGCGCGGTGCGTGTTGCGTTGCGGTCGCGTAGAAAATTCCTGCGGTGCGTGTTGCGGTGCGTTGCGTTACTTTTTCACGCCGCGTTAGGCGCTGGGCTGCCGCGTGTTGTTAGAGTCACAAACTGCCGCCCTAGGTAAATTCCAGCAATGGCGCTTCTCTAGTTAACAAAAATTAGCGGTCGCGTGATTTGTTCCGCCGGCTGTACCTGGTACAAACGCCATATTCCCCAGTGACCAAAGGACGGATTTGGAATGGAATTTAGTTGTTTTGTTAATGAAAAGAATTGAGGGCTAGTTCGGGCGACTCCATGGCCGGAAATGATCTTTTTTAACTGGAACTTCATTCAGATGCGCATAGGTTTCATTTCTCCCGCTATTTCTTCACCGGCTTATTTCAAGATCTATATCGTACAAATATGCTAATTTTGTGTTTTCAGCAGTAATTTATCAACATGGAGTCTGTCGTCCCAGCTTCTAGCACCCTGCCAATACACCAATACATCGCCATCTCGATATCACTGCCCTCCATGATTTTATACATTGTTACCGTAGTCCTCATCGTCAGAGCCAGAATCAGAGATCGACTCTTCAATTCGCCATTTTTCTCGCTGATTTTGGTCCAGGTATATAGCATACTTTATGCATACCTTTATAATTTGTTCAAGTTTGCCAACGACTTCCTATTTTACATATTCTTTCAACTCTGTCTCCGAGGCACCAGATGGTATGTGATACCGTGGAATGGTCCGGTTTTCGGGACGTAAGTTGGATTATTTTTTGTATACAGTTCATATTAAAGCAGCAGCTACAAAATACATTGCGTCCCAAGTGTGCTTTGAACGATTAAAATTCCAGATTCGCAATATATGGCTGGACGACGTGGCGTAACATCCTTTTTCTCGGCCATATACCATTTGCCTTGAATCGAATTAGCCTGTATTTGTGGCCGGGCTCCTACGGGAATGTGGGTTTGCTTACATTAATACTTACAATTAGTTTGCCTATTGATGTTCAAGTTCTTCATACATTAAATCAAAGATAGAGAGAGAGAAGGAGAGAGAGAGAGGGAGAGAGAGAGGACCCGGCGTAGAAACATGACAAATAAAGATGTTTAGACCTGGAACGTTGAATTCGTTAAGCCTATAACCCAAGCAGAAGATATTTGTTTGCTTTCTTGCTCATTAAGCCTATTTTTCCTTTCAGATCTGGTCTAAAAAAGCGGTGCTCGTGTGCTTGCTCGTCCAGTGGGCCGTGCCGGTGGCGGTCAGCGGTGGTTATTTTGCGGCCGGATGTCGTGGCGATCTGGTGGACCAGCCGGATATACGTGCGCTGTTGAGTGGCTGCGGAACCGTACGTATTTCTTTATTTCTCTCTCTCTCTCTCTCTCTCTCTCTCTCTCTTTCTCGCTTTCTCGCTCTCTCTCCCTTCTAATCCAGATACCTTTTAAGATGTCCACCTATCAAAGCTGGTTCTTCGTCGCCCTCTCCACCGGTATCTGCCTGATATGCTACGGCGTCTGTTACTCGCTCAGCTCCAGGGTAAGCCTATTAGGTCTCGAGGAACGTAAAAATTTTGATTAGCAGAAAAAGCTGTCGGATCTGGAGCAAAAACTTCCATGCAAATCTGCTCAATCCTCCAGGCGATCCCAATGTTTGCCGAGTTTGTGAGGACACTAATCTCGGTAGGGTCTAAATTTTTTTGTGTTTAGATATCGCTAAATTCCCGCAATAACAAACTGTTTAGTTCTTGCTCCTTTACGTCTTCAAGACGGATCAGTATGATGCAGATTCATGGGTGGTCAAATTCTGGTCCGAAATTTTGTAAGGATTTCAATGATTTCGATGAACGACTGATTGCTTCTAATTCGGCACAAAACGTCTTTATTATTTTTTTTGCAGATACTACTACATCGATACCTCAGTAACCATTCAGCCATACTGCCTTTTAATCACGAATACGCATGTTCGGAAGCTGTTCCTATGTCGAAAACGCAACAACGTAATTAAGGTATGTGCACAATTTTTGTAGGTTTAATTGCTGTATTTTAGGGTTCGTCGGTGCTGTGGGCGATATAAATGTTTAATATATACTTCTTCAGTTTTTCAAAACGCCGACAACTCGGCAGGGTTTTGGAATAAATGTATATATCAGGGTGATTTAACGTCTGAAAAAAGGTTTACCGGCACGTAGTTTGGCCGGCCTAAGAATCTCCTCATCAACTAGCTTGTTTTGAGAACAAAGCCAAAGGAATTCTTAGGCTCCATAGACGAGGCTTTCTCAAGACCCGTTCAGGATTGACGATACTTCTTCGAGACGACCGCCACTCAATTCAAAATTAGAGCCGCTTCAATTTTCGTGCCTAGACGCGGGCGGTGGACCAAAGCAGCAGATCCAGCTCATTTCAACTTCTTCAAAGATGATTCTGATTTTTGATCGTCGCAGGAAAGATCGGCGAAAAGTTGACAACATTTTTAAACTACTGTAAGCTTTCCTGAATCGTTCTGAAGGATTTGGACTACCGCCTCATTTTTCGTTCCGATGACCTTTTCTGGCGCCCAAAAGCAGGGCAGACCTGCATATGAGGAATGGGGGATTTTGAAGTCCGTTTCGGAACTTGTATATAATCTCGTGAAGAGCTTTTTAGAATTCCAAAAATGTGCCACTTCTGGCGTTTCTGACAGACAGGCGGAAGCGATTCCTGCAAAGCTGCAGGATTCAAAAAAAAAAAACTCGTGGGAATTTGCATTGCGTTGAGAAAAATTTTGGTGCCCATTCATGACTTTGAATCCCAGATTTTTAAAATGCCGAAACTAAACTGGAGTCGCTGAAATATTTTTTTGACATGCTACAGAGTGTTTTTCAGTCCAATTTCAGTTTCATTCAGTTCAGTTTTGTTTTTAGGAGACTCAAACGTAGCACAATGATGTTTTTGCGTTACCAAATATTGTTTCTGTTATTAGGACCTATTAAGACGAGTAAGACCGTTGAATAAACTTCCCAAAGTTCAAAAATGGACCTCCCGTCTTGATTTTTTCCTTTATTAATGAGTATTACATGATTTTTATTTTTATTGTCCTCAAACACAGGTCTTTTCAGACTACAACGAGTGCCATGGGCAGACCGCAAATTTGCGCGTTTTTCAAAATCCCTGGGTACCCTAATTTCCCTGATGATACCTATATTTTAGTTTGTCATTCTTTGACTTTTCTGGTCGTCGGAACAAAGTACGAAACTTTACGGAACTACGCGCTATATTACTTTCTCAATTAGCAAAATTTTATCGCACTTTTTCATTGCATTTTTGCGTGCGGCACTACTAATTTAAAAGCATCACCAAAGCTAGCTGATTTATGGGCAGGTTGTAAAAGCATACCGCGGGGCGGGGGTGGCCATTCCAAATCACAGGGTGGGTATTTAGATTACGGGGGTAGTAATTTTGGGTGGAGCAATTTCCGGTAACCGCGGCTTCCGGTTTTTGCTCGAAACATTTGAATGGTCACGCAACAGCATGGGAGGATGAAAATAAGGTGGAAAAGCTGGGCGAATTTCCAGACTGGCTCGGATTTTGATGGTTAAGACCTTTCTGCAGATATTTTCGCATCTTTTAAGCTGCCTTACTTTTTGAAGGTCCGGTGATGGAAAAAAGGCTTCGTTGAAACGTTTTATGCTAGCTTTTTTCAAGGCACCTTTGAACGTATGTGTCCCCTTTCCTTACAAAACCAGTGTATGCTGTTTTCAACCAATTCATGTATATCTTCTACGTTCTTTAAGTTTTTAAAAATATCCTGAAAAACCTTACGTGAAGGTAGGCACACTGAGGAGATGCTTCTCGCATATTTCCTGCTACGGGTGCCGATTGTGTTTCTCGAAATCCTGTATGATTTATTTTTAAATGAGAAAAGTATATTTACAGATTTGCTTACCAAAAATTGTTGTAATTGTTGGCTGCAAATAAAGAATTCTAAAAATTGAAAAAATTTCCAGAGATTTTGCTCGAAATCGCTTTCGAAGGAAATTGTTCTCTCAGATGTACATTTCATGTTCACAACTTATCAAATCGGTATTTTTGTATTGTTCTTGGTTTTGCACCTTTGGTCGTTTGGGGGTGACGTAGTCCCCGAATGGAAATTTTTGAACGCCATGCGTCGTTGGTCCCCGGGGGCGATAACAACCCTATACCCCTAACAACCAACATAAATAGATATAACTTTTCACTTGGCCGTTCCGCCTGGCCAGGAACCCATAAAACCAAATCAATAATTTCACAGCCACCATCTCAGGCAGCCACTGCGTAACAGTGCTGCCAATTATAGCTTTGATTTATTGGGTAGGTCAGGAAGTAATTAGTAGTGGGTTGGCTGCAAAACTAGCGAAAAAAATTGTGTGCGCTGATTTGGCTACAAGTTATGCTGGATGTCATTGGGCGCTTACTTTAGCACAGTACAACATCAGGAAAATTTTCTTTATCTTTCGGCATTACTGTTCCTTGGCTGGTGGAATCTAGACGAATTCACACCTGCCATCAAAGATCCTGTGGAAAAAGTGTTTCTAAAAAGTGTGGCTCCCCAAAATTGGACAGGTTCTCGTGAATTGATTTTGGAAAAGGCTCGTTAGCACCGCGCATTGTCTAGGTATGTATAAAGCATGTTAATGTCAGGTTTTTGGTGGTCACCCATGGTTTCAAATTGAGTTGCTGCTCCAAGACAAACCGGCAGCTTTGAAACGCGCCAACTAAAATTCAGACTTGAATTTTGACAACGTATTCTCCTCTTTTTTACCCATTTCTACCAAAAAAATAAAATAGTGTCTGTGTGTGTGCCACTTTGCATGCAACGTCCGTCGATATCTGAAGAGGGGAGGGGTGTAAGGAAATGGTTGATACGTCATTAGATGCGTAACGGCGGAATGACGCACACACAAATAAAATAGCCGTAAAAATTCAGCCACCCACTGTTAGAAAAAAAGAACCAAGTTGGTAGCCTATACAAAGGCCCAAAGGAGCTCTTTTTGACATCAAGAGGCACCATTATGCAAAATAAAAAAATAGGAAAGGGCGGGTTGAATTTAAAATAGACCGAAAGCCAAATTAATTTGCATAAAAACAGGCCTTCTCCCAAAAATAAGCCTCCGTTTTCGGCTGCACAGGTATCCCGAAAGTACAAGCTATCTGACTTCTTGCATTTGCCACTCCTAAATAATCAGATTCTGCTTTGTACTTCTCAGAAAAAGTTCCCTGAGACGTGAAAGGATCCTGAAAGTAGCGGATTTTCCGCTTCCGGTTTGGCTCTAACCAGGCGTAGTTCATCTACTACGACACCCTTAGCCCGGTGAATTCTAGCTGATCAAAGTTGCCTCATTTGGCAAATTTTGAAATAACGAAATTTCTAGAATTTAGTGTTTACAGTTGGTTAACGCGCTTGGCGTTCTTCAACAGGTTCAGGCGGTCCATAACAAATAAAAATAAACGAATTAGGAATTTAGAAAGCTTGGACCAAAAATATTGAAAAAATTGATATGTTCTTTGCTACCACCCCAATCTTCATTATTAGGCTTAATATCAAGGTAATCTTCGGACCTTATGCGCACGTTCAGGGAGGGGCCGTGTACTAGTCCCAACGTGTACACCCTATGGACGTAGGGACCGCGCGCACTGCCTGCCCGTGCTGTGACAGGCCATTCCCCTCCTTTGCGGCTTGGGGCGACCCTCGCCCCCTTGCCAGGTTGTAGCTGTGGCTGACTGGTATCCATCCGCGCCTCCCAAGCGGCGGGTACGGGTTCGACCCCCGGCCGCGGCAAAAATCTTTGCTTTTTTCCAAAAAACGTCCCTGAACGCGCCCTTTAACTGACTCTATTGTGTTTTAATTTTTATTGAACGTGTAATAACCCAGTTTATAAGGCATAATTTACTTCCTTAATCACCCAGCTCACTTGCGTCTGATTCAGCCATTTTTGCTGACTAAGCATTTCTAACTCTCGATTTCCTCGTTGCAAACTCTTGTTAATGCTAGAAAACAAAATACAAAATCAAAACCCGGACCAACAGATCCAACCACAAGACCAACATTCATAATAGCACGCGGAAGACTTTAAAGTTCCGCGCCGATCCCACTTGCACCCAAATTGCCAGCCACGCTTTGTCCATCCCCGGGGGATTGGGGTTTATACTTATTTTATGCACCAGGATATGCGTTTTTGGACGATTCGAAACGAGGAGAGGAGATTCAGAAGATTCCTCAAAAGATTGAGCTACCATCGGAGGGGGTGGGTCTGTTTTCGTGCACATTAGAATCCTATCCTCCCTGGGGACATCGTGCTCGACTATAGCCCGAATTTTGACGCACAGCCGGCACGCAAGGAGTTTGTGCCCAAAGTATGTTGCTATAGAATGTCCAAATTTGATTTTTGGCTCGATTTTCACATGCTTCACACTTTACATTTCTGATGCGCGCGGGGGCTGCTGATTTGCAGGCGGCGTCTGGGGTCTCAAATGTAAATTGGCTTGGAACGAAGGGTTCTGTACTGTAGGGCTCTGGAACATATTCTTTTGGCTGATGAATTTCGTGGCCAGTTTACGGAAAGCTTGCTTCGTTCTCGTTCTATATTGGTAAAACCTTTTGATTTTTTGGATTTGATGATCGATTTCCAGCAATTCTTTGACTAATTTAGCTAACTTGACCGGATCGAAATGCTCTGTAGGTATCGATTAAAGGAACTGTGAAGCGCGAAAATCAACAAATAAAATAGTTACTGAAAACAAGCGACGAAAATATAATCGATCCAAAATTGGTGCAGACCTGTTGGCTTTTTGGAAGCCACTTGACTACTGGCACAAGACCAGACTACCTATCGTCGACACATAGCCGAACCTGGGGCTCGATTTTGGCACTTTTCTGGCCTTTTAAAGCTACGGAGACCCATGTTGTGTGTTGCCCAAGTTTGCCTACCGCGACAGGTAACGCGCTTCGTCGCCTCTTTGAAGCGTCTCATGTCTACAGGTGTGATAACTCACCTGTTGCGTTGCGTGTCGCGGGCAAATACTTCAGCGGCGGTCACCATTTCATAGCCTAATGGACGACGCAACGGCTTAACGATCGCAGGGCAAGCGTCGCGTGTTGCGTTGCGGGCCGCGGGATATCGCTGTCGATCATACGAACCCATCAAAATTACTAAAAGGGTCTTGCCAGTCCCTTTAAAAATAGTCTCGTTGCTACCCTACTGGTTTCAATACATACCAGTAGTCAAGCGAGTCTCGTTGTGGTAAAAACGCGTAATTTCGAAAACAATCCGCTGCGATAATGCCTCAAAAATCGGGGCTAAACGATCCCTTAAATGTAAACAACAAGCCTTTTTAAATTGTGGCTCCCTTTTTTGCGCCCAATCAGCTAACCGAAATGAACTTGGCACCGCCAAACACCAGAAAAATTTCGCCAGTTTTGCCCAGGCCGTCGAAAGCTTATTGTTAGAATTTATTTCGGTGAGCAACCCGATTAAAGCACCACTTCGAGCTTACCTAATACATTAAGGTACCGCTCCCAATTCTGCAATTTGATTTGGACCCGGAAAGGTGATCGGGTAATTTTAGGGGCCCTACCCTTCGTACTTTCGCCTGTTTGCATGCTGTATGCCTGTGTCATTTGGGAAGGGTAATTACCACCCTTCTACTATGCCTTAAAAAATCCGCTTCCCCCGGCCCGGGTTAAATTGGGGGTGCTCTCCGGGCGGCCTGGGGTGTAGCCAGCAGCAAAAATTATCGGGGGCGGAACGGCACAAAAAGCATGAGGGGCTGCAGCCCGTGAAAAACGTCTGAAATTGGTGTTTATTCGCGAGAAACGTCGGGGTTTGAGGATCGATGACGCCCGGTGTCACTTTTGAATGCTAGTTTGGTGTGGCTGCTTTATTTTCCTGGTTCGCAGAGCTACTTGATGTAATTTTTAATAATTGCGGCTGCTTAGCGTACGATTTGAGTGACTTTCAAAAATATGACAAAGTTTTACCGTCCATTTTGTTGACTTCTGATTAATTTTCTTGCGCCCGCGACACTCAACGCACGGGCTGTGCATCCTATAAAAAGCCGTGATCCATTACGCAATGGAATGACAGGCTGCGCGTTGCGTGTCGCGGCCGCGGTAATGTCGGAAGGAAAGAAAATCCTTAATCTTTCCTTGTCCGTTCCTTTAAAAGATGGATTGATATCGATAATGTGTTTTTGCTGTATTTCCATTCGCTATTTCGACATCTTTTCCGAGCGCAATTATTTATACAAATTGAACAATTTTGATTTTGTGTCCGAATTTTTCGCGATTTCCTAATATTCTACGATGTTTTTAACCTAAAAATTGCGGAAATTCTTTTAACCCATTGTTTTCTTTTCTTTTCACGAAGAATTCTTAATGACGAATTCAACAATTCACGAATTCTAACATTTTCCCATGCTCCTTCGCAGGAAGATGCCATACTCTAGCTCCCCATTTCAAGGATCAAATCACATAAACCCTGCAAATTTTAAAAGTTTCCCTTTTATGCTTATGTTGATTTCCGGAAGCCACCATTTTGCAGCCATTGTTTCGCCGATTTTTCCGCATTTTCTACAATTTGTATCCGGTTTTCCCACGTTTTGAAATTTCGAAATTTTTCGGGGGGCGGTCTGGGGGTGGATATGTGCGTGCGGATGTATGGTTTGACGCCAAGTTTCACCCCCGATTCTGGGTATAAAGTCTCCGAGTTACCGGTGCGGCCCCCAGGGGGATTCAAACCTGCGCTTCACGGCGATAGACTTGGATTTTAAAGCCGGCCGCGGCTGAAAAAGGACAGACTGGTTTTGTTGCTCAATTTTCGAATTTTGTGTGGCGCCTCCTCGGGGTAATTTATGTCGCCAATACGCAAAATACGTAAAATACGAAAGAGCTCATGACTACACGTTGTACCCGCGCGGAGTGTCGGGGTGTTCCAAACAAAAGCTCATTAGATTCGGATCGTGTCTTCAATTTTCATTTGAATTCTGTGGGTGCTGGTTTAAATAGAATCATATGGGGTGTGACGCTGGTACAGTACAGCGTCTGGCCGGGAGTTGAAAGATATAAGGTGTCTAGTAGGATTCAGTGTCATTCCAGATGGGTCCCAGGAATTACTATCCCATGATCTTTCAAATTTACATCGTTATATAAATGTTTTTAATTGTGTTTTAAAGGACCGGGCAAGGCATTACTGCAGAAATAATCTTGTTGGCCATCGATTTTCTGGGTTTTTTGAGCCTGTGATGCGCGACTGGTGAAAACCCATCAAACCCTGCCCAGCATTATGCTACTTAAAGGCTTCCGTAAGATTTACGATTTTGGCCTTTTTCGCTTTGGAATTTGATACCGATTTGATAGCGTTTCGTGTCGCGGTGCCGAAAAACAAAAGCAATCCGTAGCCAACTTTGCGTTGCCTTTCAAGTGTGCTCAGGTTTTGTACATAAATGTATAAAAACCTTCAATTTACGCTTCCCAAATCTGGTATATATTTTTAATGAATCGACACTTTAATATGTTACCTTTTGGGTTACCGTATGGTACCGTAAAGCTGTTTTCATGTACGCTTTTTAGCTATGGAGTCCACGACACCCGTCCACCCCACCCCACCCCTCCCCATCCACCAATACATTGCCATCTCCATCTCACTGCCCTCAATGTGTCTGTATATTGTGACGATAGCCCTCGTACTCCGGGCCCGGATTAAGGACAAAATGTTCAACTCGCCCTTCTTTTCATTGCTGTTATTACAGGTAATCACTTAACAGTAGTGCATGCAACAAAATATGACAAATTCAGTTCATTAACGACTTTCTATTCTACGTGTTCTTTCAAATCTACATGCGTGCGACGCGATACTATTTGATATCGTGGAATGGCCCTGGGTTTGGGACGTAGGTTTTTGTGCTTACAGATTTGTAACTTCATGCCCTTTTCCCGACTTAAAGGCAATGAGAAGGCTCAAAATCGACCCATCCTGTTAACTAGATCTAGACAACCACGCTGTGTGGTGCACGCAAAACTGAAATTCTGCGTGATTTGGTGTATCCCGTAGCTGTTGAGATCTAGTCGTCATAAAGCATTGGAGTTGCGGCTTCTCAGCCCCTTTAATTACCACTATTTCAGGGTCGCCGTCTTTGGATGGGTCACCTTTCGCAATATCCTCTTTCTGGGCCATATCCCGTTTGCATTGAATCGAATTAGCTTGTACTTGTGGCCTGGCCACTATGCACATGTGAGTTTTTACATGGCATTACGGTAGTCTATCTGTTCCGTTGTGAGGCACGTAGCGTACTCTTGAACGCAGATTGTCTGCAAGACAACAATTTACGAAACTTTCAGATCTGGACAAATAAACTCGTGTTCATCTGCTTCGGGCTTGAATGGGGAGTGCCAGTGGCGATAAATCTTGGCTATTTCATTGCCGGATGTCGCGGAGATCTGGTGGATATTGCTGATATTCGATCGTTGTACAGCACTTGCTCTACGGTAGGTAATAAACTACGAGATAGCGCTATTTCTCGATCTTCTCTCTCTCTCTCTCTCTCTCTCTCTTTCTCTGTCTCTCTTTTCTTTCTCTCTCTCTCTCTCTCTCTCTATCGCTTTCGCACGAATTAAAATCGGCTGAAAACCATTTTGAATCGCAAACGACTAGCTTCAGATGGCCTCCTACCAGTGGTGGTTTTGCGTCGGACTCTCTGGCTGCACTTGCATCGTCTGCTACAGCGTCTCCTTCCACCTCAGCCGGAGAGTAAGTTGCCCTTAATACCGTACCCTGCATGAGATTTGAGGTAAACAATAGGCAGTGTTAGTACGCACGGAACGTCCTTTTTACTTTAGTTTCAGAGTTGGAGTCAGCCTCCAAAGCGACGTCAAGTCTTTGTGCGTAATCCGCGTGTAGATTTTTGCCTTTTTTTGCATGGCTTTCTTTATTTTCGATCTTCGCTAGACAAACAGTGGTTTTGGGCGTGGCTTCCATTTTGTTTTCGCTGCATTGTCCAACACTTTCTTGTTAGCAGAAAAAGCTGTCGGAGCTGGAGCAGAAGCTGCTCCTCTGCTCCGTGCTGCAGGCGCTGCCGATGTTCACCGAGTTTTTGAGGACGATTATACAGGTACAGGGATTTAATAAGTATCAAAAATTCAAAATTTTTGATAACGCTAATAAAAAAAGACTTTTTCCACATATTAATAAACTTTTAAGAGCTCTATTAGGGTCAAAAATTATTGTTTCGGTTTTAGTTCTTGCTCCTATACGTATTCATGATCGAAAATTACACAGCCGATTCGTGGGTGGCAAAATTTTGGTCGGAAGTATTGTAAGTTTTCATAAAAACGCCATAAACGCTCATATTTAAGAAAAAAATAACCTTTAATGCAAAAATTTTAGATATTACTATATCGATACCCTCGTAACAATCCCGCCTTACTGTCTATTATTAACGAACACACACGTTCGCCGGTTATTTCTATGTCGCAAAAAGCATACGGTAAAGGTATCGGCACTTTTCAAGGTTTTATATCCCATTTTCAGGGTTCTTCCGCCACTCGTGTCTCTTCTCTTGGGAAGACAAAGATTGTAGAGATTAAATAAAATAATAAATAATATATATAAGAAAAAATCGCTCAGGAAACAAAAAAAAGCCGCCAAACTTAAATTAAAATTTATTGTCTATCTCGTCTCCCTTAAAATCGTTTTCAAAAGCTTTATCAAGGCCCGGATTAAAATTTTTGCCATTAATAATTTTTCTCCTCGCTCGGCAGCTCCAAGATCTCCTTCTCAAAGTCCCCGCCGATGATGTGCATGATTTTCGGGGCACACCGGGCCATCTTGTGCTTCGCCTGAATTATGTAATTTGAGGCAGAAGGTATAGAGCAAAGCGGTAGTAATTACCGGATTGCTGTTAATATCACCACGCAGTTCTAAATATTGCATCCGCCTCAAAATTAGGGGTTTTTGCTGCCATTTGGCAAGTAAATTCGCAATTTTCGAAAGGTTTTTGGCATTTCATGATGCGAGTAGGCAGCTGATTGAATGAAAAACGTAAACCCATGCCTAGGGATGCCAATAATAGAAAGTACAAATTAGCGATACGTGGAAGATATAAAATTCTGTTAAAAACATACCATTAGAGCGTAGCTGGCGCGAAGGTACTGTACGGTTGGCATGGCTCCCGGCGCCAGGTCCAGCAATTTTCCGGCATTTTTGTACTCGCGGGCTAGTTGCTGGGATGCGCAGTCGATGAAGCGGATGTAGTCGCTAAAATTTTGGTGGAGAACGTTGTTTCTAGCTCTTTCTGTCTTCCGCTCTTTCTCTCTCTCTCTCTCTCTATCTCTCTCTGTCTCTCTCGCTCTCTCTCACCTGCACCGGTCGGCAGCCTCATCTCCGGTAAGATCGTAGCGCTCGAAGCACATCAGCTGCTTGTCCCGGATCGCCGGAAATACGCGCTTGGCCGTGTAGAAAGTGACATCGAAAATTACGTAGGGCTAGAAACTACAAATGTCACTCACATTTTGGTTTCGGGGCCGGTCCATCGCAGTTCAGCGCCGTCCAGTCGTTGACAAACTTTCGGGAGCACAGGCATTTGGAGGAGGCCTTGCGGAAGAAGCTGAAGCTCTTTATTTTTCTCGAGCCCCCTCCCGTTCTCTCTCTCTCTCTCTCTCTCTCTCTCTCTCTCGCGCTTACTAGCAGTTGGCCTGTGGCATCGTCAGATTCATGTCCAACTCGATGTTGAGAGCAATCGCCTCTTTCTCGAGGCAGGTGACGACCTAGAAATTTTCATATATACGTAGCGTTTAACCCTTAACAACGTTTAACATTCCACGCCCAGCTTTTGATCAAAAAGCAAGAAGCTTCGCCGCGGCCGGGGGTCGAACCCAGGCTTTGCGCGCACCAATGTGCCAACAGGCCGACGGGGTCTAAAACAGACAGGCCCTCTTCCCCCCAAGGAGGTCTTATCCGCGCTTTAGGAAACAGACCCTTCTATAGCGTGGATGGATTCTATAACATTCGGATGTGAATTTTTCTTTAAACTACCTGTTTGTCAGGTAGACACTCGTCCTGCACCTCTACCGGAACAGAGAACGCTGAAAGTTCCCACATACTAATTTTCTCTGAAAAATTACCGGATCCAAAGATCACGGCGGCCACGAAGATGCAGTCCTTTCCCAGCATGGCTAAAAAGATGGAATTTTTGGGTGATGGTTGAACTCTGAAACGTCAGAAACCAAAAGAAAAACGAAATTTTTTAGAATGGCAGCACCGAGCCGACGGGGGACCTAGATGTTTTGTCGGGCTTTCCCACGAAAGATGCAAAATATGGTGGTTGCATTCTGGCGGGGGGTGATGAAAGAGGCTGTTCGAATGCGAGTTGAAATTTGGCTTCAGGGGGATTTGAGGAATTTTTATATATCTCGGGAGACATGTCGACCCGTTAATTGATGGCTGATAAAACATGGACCGGGCGGAGGCTGTAATATCATTATGTCTGGAAACGAGAAACAGCAAAGGAACAAAAATTTCCTTTGAGAAGAATAAGTTCTGATTTACTTTCCTGGAGAAATTACGATAAACTGTGGTTCGAGTTAAAATGCGAAATTTGCGTTTCAACGGGAAATGTGCGGTTGAATTATAACGTACTGTCATTTGAAAACAATGTCAAAACAAAAATAAGGCGGACCGGAAAATAGTCATTAATTTTCTTAGGCTCCTCGAGATTGAAAACTAAATTTACCTTGATTTTACTATAGCAAAGGTGTGCTATTTTTGGCGTATGCTAATTTTGGTAATACCAGAAAATGAGCCTAAAAATCCGCCAACTTTATAGCTTCCGTGTTTGTGTTTTGCTCAAAGCCGCCCAGACGTAATATCAAAAAGCAGAGGTGATGACAATTCCGATTTCTCCACATGACGATTGGGCCATAAACATCAGCGTTTTTTGTGGTAAACCCGATAGATGTCCCAAATTTCCCGTAGGGCGCCGTAGTGGGGACATTTTAAAATTTGAACTAGCGTGGCGCGGAATTTCATAACGTCGGAGTCGGAAATATCATCTTACAATTTTTTAAAAATCAGAAAAACTCGTCTCGGTCCACGCATTATGCAATCGTTGCGGGACTGACAAAATCCCCACGCATCTGTGTGCCCTCAGGCAACCTCCCGCAGAAGGCTGGAATTTTCAAGGCCATAATCACCGAATGCCAGTGAATAAGGTGCTAATAAATTTCATCCGCTCCCCAGCTAAAATAAATAAGCTAAAAGCTGAAAAGCGGTCTCTCAGTTTTTAACCTCTTGCTCGAGGGTGATGTTTAAAGTGCGAAGCAGGGCCTGCACGGTCTGGCCCTTCACAAAACAGCGACCTTTGTTCGGGCGCCGTCGTTTTTTTGGGGCTGGCGTGGGAACGGAGTTCACACCAAAGAATGTCCTTTATTGAATGGGTGATTTGCGTAATGTGGCCAATTGGGTAGGAAATTGCCTGGGTAATGTCTGTAAGGGATGAGTCACCGGAAAGACGGGTCCTAAAATTTGCATACGTTGAATACAATACAGTACCGCGCGAAACGATATCTTAACAATTTTCGCTTGAAGAGTTGGTAACGTAATGTATACTACGTATCGGGGCCTTTGTACTTACTTTTATACTTAGACAGGGTGTCCCAGAAAAACGACCCATCTGGCATTTCGCCGTGTTACATCCAATTGGTCCCAAAATTGGGAGAGAGGTGTATCAGACCCTAAATAACAACAATCCGGACTTATAGCCCTGTAGCTACAGTCGTTCTCGAGTTATAGCAAAAACAAACTTTATTTTCCATTTTTCATAGGGTTCCCGTGGAATTAGACCCCCCTAAACAGTAAGTGAATATGATTCTGTAGGCCTTCTTTACCGTAAGAAATTTTTTTCAGAGTAAAATTAATTAAATAAACTTCGATTTAAGCGATTTTTCAACGGAAAACTATCCAAGTTCTTAAGCGAAATTAGGGATTCACAGGATTGTTATAAGTTTAAAACTATTGTAGGTATGCAGCTGTAAGTCAGGATTGTTGTTATTTAGGGTCTGATACACCTCCTCTCCAAATATGGGACCGATTCAATGTAACCCTGCGAAATGCCAGATGGGTCGTTTTTTTTGGGACACCCTGTATATACTACGAAATATATTTTTATTAAAAACATCTACCGCGCTTCTGCATCCCTATTAATGACTGTATGCGCCGCGTTCTAAAAACCACGGGTTTATCCATATTACCAATTCCGTGTATTGATTTTCTTCCCGCCATTTTCTATACAATTTGCCAGCAAAAAGTGTCGCCAAAAATTTGCATCCCTTGGCTCATGCATGCGCTGAATCACGGGCGCCCCGCGTGCAAAATGTTAGATGCGGCCAAACGGCAGCGGGGCGATGGATGTGACATGGAATTTGTTGAATTTATCGTTCTTACGGCAAAAAGGTATTATTATTGTACAAAATTATGTAAATATAGTCCAGCTGGCGTGAACTTTATCGCTAAATCTGGTAACTATGATACTCTTGTGGTTTGTAGTTTAGCGCGTATGGATTTATTGATCTTAGGACTTTTCCGGGTTTGTTTGGCTCTTTCTCTCGATTTTTTTGTTTGTCGTTACACGTTTTGTCCTTAGAGCTTGCCATTAGAATAAAGCCTTCAAAATATTGTTTCTCTTTGCTTAAGGTTTTCAAAAAACTAAATTTAACTAATTTTTCTGATTTTCGATATTTTTGGGTTCCAAAACGTGATTAAAAATCCAATTAACATCACCCAATCCATACTAATACACCCAAGAATATTATAATTATTCGATTTGAAAACCATGTTTTATACTCTCTTAAGTTCCGAAAACGCTAAAAGCCTGCGAACTCCTAGCAATTAAAAATGCCTCGAATGCAATACAATCCCACTAGCTCCCCTCAATTTGAATAGCCATTCCCCCCACGCATAGTCGCACTCGCCGCTGTGTGGAGGCGTGAAAATTGTGAAAATTACCTCTGCTGGTGCCCCCGATCGACCTCAAAGCGCGACTCTCGGCTCGGGCTTGTTGGAGGCAGAGCAACTCCACTTTTTGAGTATACACAGACAGACAGACACACTCCTCGCAGCAGTCCCTATTCAAATCGGACCCCAATTGGCCACCACCGCCCCACCTGCGCCGGCTCGCCCGGGCCGACCCAACTTTTTAGCCCCAAAAACTTCGAATATTTTTTGAGGCTTTGAGGTGGAAGCGCGACTGGCGTTGGTATTGGGCCCTAGCCTTTGCGATTTTCCAATTTTTTTTTTAGTTTCGCAGATAGTCTTACGGTGATCCAGTATCGGACTAGGTGCTTAGCGCAACCCTGGACTCTTTCGAGATCGCTTCTAAAATTTGTGTTCTAATTTTTAGCGCGGGACCTAAGAAGGCAGCTATCGAAAAGCTTTATTGTTAGCACCTTCGGTCAGTCGTAGCGGGCGCGTTGCGTGCCCTACCCAGTCGGCTTCCGCAAGATCTTCCGGATCGGAGTTTCGAGTTTTGAGAAATTTGCGTTCAGCTATCAATAGGAAATGACCGCAAAGGGCATGAAATAGCAATGAAAAATTTTTGAAAAATGTGTTTTTCGAAAATGTGGATGCAAATCGAGCGCGTTGTGTATCGCGAGCCGTTCGAAGTCATTTGAGAATCCAGCACCGTCAAAATCCATAGTTATTCAAGGCTTGTCGGTTCCTTTCAGTCGGAAAGCATTGGCACATCTTTCCTTGATAGCGGCCTCTTCAAATTTATGGAATTTTGGTACAAATGAGATAACCGGGGGGACTCAAAGTTTCTTTTTCTTTTGCTTCTAAGATATTATAAAATTATGAGTGCACCCGTTATTTTATCCTCGACGTTGCCCCATGCATGCCCGAATTTTTCGGTTGCGGCAAAAATGATAAACCCCTAGCCGGGGCGTGATATTTGATGGTGGCGCCCCCGGGAATGGAAATCGGCGTGTGTGTGCAAATGAGCGGCGACCTTGCCTGTCCTCGGCTCGGTCCCACCGAAATCCCGCGGCTGTCGACAGGACAGTTTTGGAGTCGAGTCGATTCTCTCGGCTATTCATCCCAGTGTTGTCGGTGTGCGTTGTGTGTCTGTGTCGGTATCGGTGTGCCCGATTCGGCCCCGGCCGCGCGCGCATCTTTTCAGCTATTTTTCCGGGCTATCAGTCAATCCATTAGCCCGATCGGAGGGGAACTTTCGCAAATATGCTGGGGTGCCGGATGTGGCGCGGCTATCAAGTCGATTTATGCATTCCATCATATGGGGATTTCTCATCTCATTGGTTTCTCGTTTTTCAGCGTCATTATTCACTGGAAGTCCTGCTGGACACCATTCGATGAAATCGTTACCATACCCCAAGGCTATCAGCACTTTTTGAGAAATACTCAGTTATCTGCTGCGGGCTCCCATTACCGTATCCCCAGGCACGCTGCACTTTTCAGAAAGCTCGTCGTTTTCGGTGGCGCGCCTCGACACCGATCCCAACCTTTTTGCAATTTTTACCGGAAACAATGGACCGGAACCTTGATTTCGCCCGAGTTTTATCGATATCGATTTAATGACTTTTTTTAGGATAATTTTTGTCGCTTTTTTAAAGAACGAAGCCCATTTATTGTGGCGCATCTGCTCAACTTTTTAGATCATTTTGACCGAAAGCTTTAAGATGATATCTTTTTCAGTCTTAGCTTTTTTGGTTGCTCAAAATGGCTAATTATGCGAACGTTAGCTGGATTTTAACGGGTAAAATAAGCAAAAATTACATTTTTAGCACCTTCAGTTTTACAAATTCATTTGTTTTAGAAAATGCGCTTTTTTGGTTCATACGATATGCAAATTCCAACCGAATTATTTTTATTAGCGCCGCATTGAGAATAATAAGGACAGCGTTCTTCTTTTTACCGTAATTACGGCCACCAAAATACCTTATCTCCATCCTTAATCTACCCAACTCCCGTCGAATCGACTCAACCTAATTTGCGGCCAGCCCGGCTGTTTTAGCCCCGCTCCTGCTGCCCGAATTTGCCTACCCACACCCCGGAAAAAAACAGTGCGCCAAGGTCAGTTCGTTTGATTAGCCATAAAAAGCGGGGCGTGTGGGGGAGAAGGGATGCAAATGAGAGATGCAAATTAGAGGAAAAGCGCGATT